ATTTAAATAAAAGTAAATTAGGTTCTATAATATAAATAATCATTAAAAATTTATATTAAGTCTTATTATAAATATTATACTAAAATATAGATTTTATTAAATATTTCAATAATAAATAATATTTTAGAAATTAATATATTTATTAGATTTATTATATCTTTTCGAATATAATCTTAAATTCTGAATAAAATTATATAATATTTTAAAAATAGTAAATTATATTTTATAACTTTTATAATTATATTTTAAGAATAATATTAAATATTATTTAATTGATACTACTAGTCTTTTAAAAAATATACTAAGCTAAATATCTAATTCTTATAAATTTAATATAAAATATTTTAATAATTCCAGCTAATAGTTTTAAAATAAAACAGCTGTTTAACTCCGCCTGAGATATATATTATTATTAATAGAAATTATTGAAACTATAAACTATATAAAACTTAATAATATTTATATATATAATATAATTTAATATTAAATTAGAATAGCTTATTCTTATAAAAAAGTATCTTTTTATATAAAAAAAGTATTTAAAAAAAACAAAATAATACCAAGCAGAAAGAAGATAAATATAATTTTATTAATAAAAATAAAAAAAATATAATTTTAGACTACTAAAATATAAATATTTTTAATACACCTTCTTAAAAGCTAAATTTATATATACTAAAAAAAATTACTAATATAAAAAATTAGTTAAAAAAGCTAAATAATAATAAAATTCTTCTTTCTAATATCAGCTATTTATATAATAATTCTAAAATCTAGCAGTATTTATCTAAGTATATTTTAAAAAGATTAAAATAAAATAATAATTTTATATATATTTAAGAAACTAGAACTTTCAGTATAAATTAAAAAAAGATATTTTTTATTTTTAAATCTATTATAAGATTAAATAAAAAGTAGAATAGATTTTAGAAGATAAAAAGATAGTTTAGATTTTTAAATAAAAATTAAATAATAATTATTAAAAATAGTATTATATAATATAAAAAATAAACTAATAAAACTGAAATATAAAAAAATATAGACTAGCTATATATAAATTTTATATATTATAAATTATAAAATTATTTATTTTATTTATAAGACTGTAGAACTATACCAAACCGTAGTAGTATAATTTTTAATAATCTAAGACCGCCCGGCGGTTCTAGGACTTAGAACCAAAGACCGATGCGGTCCGGTCTGATGCGGTCCGGTCCTTGGTCTTTACGGTCTTTTCTAAGGCCTAATAACAACCTTCGATCTCGGAACTTTGTATTTTCTCAACGCATTTCCAAGAATCTCCTCGGAGCTCCCGTTGGAGTAAGTGTCTGCTTCATCCTACGTATTGATGCCCCGATCGTGAGCATGCTTGATGAGAGGAGAGCAGAGGCGTCGTCCATAATGCATGGTTGCCAGTTCGGGTCACCATAAGTCATGCAACCAAGTACGATCTTGGAGACCTTCAGACCCGACGCACCAAGCCTAAGATCTGGATGGTCAGATGAAGGTGGTTTTGCTCCGTAAAGCCGACTTTACGTAATGTATTCCATTCTGAGAGCTGTCGTAAGGACTTTCTGTCTAGAGGTCCAAGTCAAAAGGCTTGAAATGACACAAATTTCCCTGCAGAGGTGATATTCAAGCTTCAATTCTAGCAAGAATGGGCTTTTGGAGAAAAAGAAGCGACCCGGACTAGGGACGCATCAAACTAAGCCCGCCGTGACCGTTGCTTGAGCAAAATCCGCTAAATGATGACACTCTGCAAACGGCAACATCGTTTCACGTTCCGGACAACCCACTGGACCTGTCCGCCATGCCCGCGTTGCCTCACAGAGATACCGTTCCAGTCCGTTTTAGCCGTACGACTTTACTACTGTTTTGAAATAAGAATTCGGGATGATGGAGTCGACCTGTAATTGTCAGCAATTAGTGTAAAGCTTAAGAACTCAACACGTGACCATTGCGCATCCGATCGAGAACCGAACCAGCCTGGAGTGCAAGATTCCGAAAACACTCTGATTAGCTAGTAAAAGCGGTTCCTAAAATTCTTCTGTGCCATTTACTTCCATCAAGCGTATAACGGTGTGCACTTCAGTCCCGAATTTTATGACGTCGGTGACATTGTGTCGGAACATGCAGTTCACCAGTATCGTTCAGCTACGCACTAGCTGCTTGTAAGTAGATTCATTCACGGCGAACTATTCGAAAAGGGTCAATTTGGAAAGACGCTTCGGACAGCGAGGAGTGGTCCAGGCATCTTTTATTTGTAAATGTACCATGTATGTGTTCAGTATCGAGCTACAAGTGCTGAGTAGGCGAGAACAGAACGAAATGAGTTTTATCCTAGAGCTAATGTGATAGTGTCATACTTAGACCGAGGATGGGTTTGTAGGGATAACCAATCCAAGCCGAGACAACGAATGGATTAAGGTTTATTAATTACCCCTCCACATCGACCAGCTTCAATTGCATCTCCGATAAATTAAGTTTGCTGCTATTACGTCTTCGGGCTGTACGCGTTGGGGAAGTAGCCGGGTGCTCATTGGTCCCTCGCGTTAAACTCCTTCGCAATCTGGACATCCTCCAGGTATTCCCCACCTGTTCCCTCCAAGACATACTATGTTCTTTATCATCTCACTCGATTCGTTCACTATCTAACCTGACACGGGTGACATAATTAGTGCCCACCCTTTGCACTAAAAGATGACACGCCCAGAGATTTAAGTAAAATACAGCCAAAGTAAGCCCTGCATATTAACTAAGTACGGTTTCCTTAGGCATATTGTAGGATTTCTCACTGTATTTTCGTGAGATATCCGGTAGATTGAAAGGAATGAGTTTTTGTAATGTATTGTATGGTATGAGTAGACTTGCATTTTTCTCGGGGTTGTCCAGGGAAGCCGGAACGAGCGAGTCTTCTCTAATCGAAACAAGCAGGTATTAAAAGGCCCTCAGTTTACCTTTGCCCGATCCTTCTAGCAATCAAGATTCAATTTCACTTGCACAAGTCTTGCTTCTCTTAACTCTTTCCTATCAATTCCTCCGCCAGCACCATGACTAGCCGGTATGCTGAAGTCCACAAGAACCCTCAAGGTCCAGGAGATGCCCGGCCCACAGCACAGCAGATTATTGATGATGAAGGGCTTAAAGGTCAACTGGCCGATCGATATATGTTGATAACTGGCGCATCATCAGGAATTGGGGTCGAGTCTGCGAAGGCGCTTTTTGCAACGGGCGCAACATTGTATCTCACGGGACGAAACCTGGACAAGACCAAGAAAGCCCTGGGCGAACTGGCTTCTTCGCCTCGCGTGCACATACTGGAATTGGATCTAGAGTCTCTATCGAGTGTGCGCGCATGTGCTGCGGAGCTCCTCTCCAAAACCAAGACTTTGAATGTCTTTATCGCCAACGCGGGTGTCATGGCAACCCCTGAGGGTCGGACCAAGGATGGATTCGAGACCCAGTTCGGCACGAACTACCTTTCTCAGTTCCTACTGTTCCTCCTCATACGCCCAGCTCTCTTAGAAGGTGCCGCTGTTACAGGGTCTGACTCTCGGATCATCTTGCTGTCATCTATCGCCCACCGATACTCGGAAGTCGACTTCGAAAATATCAACTTAGACGGTGCCTATGATAAGTGGAAAGCGTATGGACAAAGCAAGACCGCTCTTCTTTGGGCGGCTAATGAGATTGACCGTCGTTACGCTTCCAAAGGACTGCGCGCCTTCAGTGTTCAGCCTGGTGGCATTCAGACCGGACTCCTGCAGCATTTGTCTGAGGAAGAAAAGGCCGGACTCGCATCTGATCCAACGCTTGGACCTCAATTCAAGAGCCCACCACAAGGAGCTGCCACCTCTGTATGGGGGGCCGTCTCTAGAAGCTTGGAAGGAATTGGTGGAAAATATCTCGAAGACGTGCAGATCGCCAAACCGTATGATGCGAGCGAGGGACAATGGGCACCCGGCTATTTCCCCCATGCGTACAGCCCGGCGAAGGAGAAGCTGCTATGGGACATGTCATTGAAAATTCTCGGCATCGAAGAGTAAAGGAGGCACTCAAGAATGAGCTACTTGGACTCGTTTTCTTTTACAAAGGATGGATGTTCCTGTACGTTACTGGTTCAAGAAAACAATCATTCGTCCTTGCTTTCCCCTGTAACATCTAGCTAGTTTCTAAAATCCATATTTGACTCAGTCCTCTGTGTACTTGGATCACTTTACACTAGAACAAAAAATCACCTATCAGGGCTATCAGTCACATAAATTCATCACATGAATTCAAGGTGAAAAGCACGCTACATTAAAGGCAGCTTGTTTTTTTTTTTTTTTTTTTTTTTTTCGGCCCTTCGAAGGGAGTCTCAGAACAAAGCTCAGGAGTAGCAACATATAGTACAGTCTCGTTTCGACCCTCAAAATAGTCAGACCATTGCGATGAATTCTTGCCACTGGCACAGGGCAACATTTGAGGGTTTGAATACTATTCGGGCAGCTGCTCAACATCACTACTTGACTGAATCGAAATGCCCGTATCGTTGCCTACCCCATCACTCTTTGCTCCGGAATGATCTTGGCGCGGCATTACTTATTGGTGCCAGCAACACCAGATAAGATTTAGGGTACTTACAGTGGGAGGAAAGGAGTTTGCACCCCCCCTGTTTGGCGTACGTACTGCGCTAGCTCTCACCGCCTTCTTTATTTTGTCCACCGCACACCCAACAAAGAAAATAATTGGCTTCTATAAGAGCTCTGCTGGCAGGTTCACGAATAACTATGCCTAAAGAGGCTAGCGGATGAACTATTGCAGAGGGGGGGTGGCAATTTCCTTTCCAGGGACTGTACGGAGTAGAAGAGGAAAAATCCCCCCCCCCCCCTCCCCTGTTTGGTTGGGCCGAAGGGTCTTTGGCAGTGGAGGCGGCCAGCTTATAAGGAACGTGGAACCTGGGTCCGGATCTTGAACTCTCCTCCCGGTCTCTATGTTCCATTTCATTGCCTTTGTCAACTGTGACCACTTAAGCTTACATTAAATTGGTGTTTAAAAACAGAAATCAAAGGCTGCAATCGCTCCTCATGCTGTCGCTATTGATCATGCTACAACTAAGTCTGAGCCGTTCGCCTTTCACTATATGGATACTTGGATAGATCAGTTGATTTGAGGCCAGAGAACGGCAAGAGATTAGAATTAGATTATGATAAAGAGATACCTAATTAAACGAGACGACGGAAAGAACCGCAAGCTGAAACGCTGACGGGGCGGATTGACCTGGCCAGCAAATTTGTTCAATCGCAGTACAAATTTGCTGACACGAACGACCTCCATCAATACCGATATCTCCGAAATAATGTGATCATTAGAATAGTCTCGGAGAAATCTCCCATGACGTAATGTCTTATGCCAGAAAATGTATAGATATTCCGACCACCTATCTTTTGAGCCTGGAGCTGGGCATTTTCGACGCAAATTCTCCCGGCTTCATTTTTCAACCAAACTCTCCAGATGGCATCGACACCCCATGTGTGGCTGATTACAGGCTGCTCAGCTGGTTTCGGCATTTCAATTGCTCGTGCAGTCCTTGCCCATGGACATCTTGTGGTTGCAACCTCTCGGAATCCGACGAAAACACCAGACCTGGTTGAAGAGATCACGCAAAAGGGTGGGCACTGGTTGACGCTTGACGTGACAAGCCCCGAAGAGGATATTAAAAAGGTGGTCGAGAAGGCCCGGGATCTGTATGGTCATATTGATGTTGTTGTCAATAACGCGGGCTTTGCGGTAGTCAGCGCACTAGAGGACGTCGAGTGAGTCGCTTCCTTCCAACTTGCTCTATGCCGCAAAAACAACCTAATGCAAGTGAATATAGCGAGAGCGCCATCAGAGCACAGTTTGAGACAAATGTGTATGGGCTTATCAAAGTCACAAAGTCCGTTCTACCAATAATGCGGAATTCGCGCTCTGGAACTATTGTGAACATGAGTTCTGTGGGTGGTTTGAGAGCACTACCTGCTGTCAGCTTGTATTCAGCATCAAAACATGCCGTCGAAGCTATCAGCGAAGCGCTCGCACTCGAATTGTCACCTTTCGGCATCAGAGTTCTTTTAGTAGAGCCCGGAGCATTTCGAACCAATTTCCTTGGACAAAATGCAGTCTCTTACCAGCCACCCAGTGATCCATATCTCGGGACAGCCGTCGAGAAAACCCAGCAGTATCTCCATAGCGAGAATGGAAAGCAACCTGGTGATCCCGAAAAAGCGGCAGAAAGAATTTATGAAGTCGTTATGGGAGAAGGAATGGCTAAAGATAAAAAACAGTATCTTAGGTTGGTTTTGGGCAACAAGGCTTATGAAAACGCTCGTCTTAAAGTTGCCGACCTTTCGGAGAACTTTCTCGCCTTGGAGGACATTTCTAGAAGTACGGACTACTAAGTATTTTCGAGGGCGACAATTGCAGTTTAGTCAAGTTGTATAATCATAATTAAGCAATCCAATCCAAGAGCTCTACTGATACTATTAAGGTAATACGCATGTGACTGGACCACCTGGTTGAGCGGGCCATTCACCTATCATTAGACAATTTCAAGATCGATTATCTCATTAACACCCCTTAGTTCAATTAGACATAGCGATTTTCACATGTATTGCCTATGAAAAATATCTCTAAATCCAGAACACTTAGCTGGCGCCCTCTTCGATGGTCAGACCCGCTTCACAGGGTATCTCATTCGCTGCGCGGAGATTCCCATTATCCTACACAGGTAATGGAAGCTTGTGTAGCGAAAGGTAGTACCCCTTGAGAATCCGATCTACTAGTAAGTTTAGTCGGCTTTGAGGGCTTTTTAACCGCTGAGCTGATCGATCATTCATTGTACCGTCTCTATTTGTTAGACGCGATTCCCATGAGTGGTGTGGGTCATGCAAGTGATGAATTTCTGAAATTAGGTATAATTGTGTTTTCATTAAAGCCGAAAACCCCGATGGCTATTTCCGTGGCATCTGAACTTAGTGACAGGCAAATTCCCACCGACTCTTTATGCTAAACATTATCTCGGGGTTCCTAAGAATGTCTGCTGAAAAGAAGATACCCTTGCGCCAGTGAGATTAGTCACAGTAGAAGTATCGAATAATCTAGCATTTGAAGGATTCGACTAGACTAGGGATCGGTTGACGGTGGTTATCCAGCCTTACTTCAACCGCGAAGTCTAAATGTCTTACGTTCCTAAGGCCTACTAGTCGAACACACGAATGAAAGCATGACGTCTTGGTACCAAGAGAAAAGTTAATTGCAGGACTTCCGGGTTGATCCGGTTACCATGCAAAAACAGAAAAGGAGTGGGTACGCGCAGAATCAGTCTGTCCATAGTGGTAAAAATACCACATCGACTCGACACTTGGTTTCACTAAATTACTAGCCTGGGTCAGCAATTAGCGCCAATTTAAAGATCTTTTTTTTTGTCTCAGAGACGATTGACGGATCATTATCTCGGTGGATCGGTGGAGACCGGTCATAACAGCCATTGATTGATGCAGAAGAGAAAATTGTCGTAGTAATAGACCAATCACATTCCTTGCCGACATACTGTTGAACAGTGGATAATCAAAAGTCTCGCGGACACGTGTCAGCAATCTGCAGATAAAACCCCACGCAACGTGATAAGATAGCCAGTCCATTTTTCACTATTTTTTTTATTTCATCCTTGAAATATACCTGTCCTCGAGCCATCTGGCTTTATCCATTGCCACATACGCTTGCGAGATTTGACGCTATTTCTCATGGGGACTCCATCAGTAGCGAGGTCACTCGTCCTGCAGCGCGTTTTCCCAGGGGTGGAGGTAGCACCTGCAGATAACTGGATAGGCGTCACAGATATGAAAAGGCGAAGGAAGTTGCAAAATCGACTCAATCAACGATCTCGGAGTCAGTAGTACTTCACATTTGAATCAAATCTGTGCTAATGTGCTACATGGACTAGGGCAACGCCGTCGAGTAGCAGATAGCAACCAACGATCCACGCCTTCAGCGCCACCTAGTATTGAGATCGCCCTTAGGATTTTAGATACTTTGCAGATTATTGGCCCGGCCTCGCGGAATGTAGAGGACATCATGAACCAGCTTGTAAGCATGGTCACTGCCCATGCTAACCTCATGTGTGGGTCCCCATTACGAGATCTACGCTTCAGTATAACAAGACTGAACGTCTTACGAGCACTTTTTTTCAACCTGGAAGTACTAGGTTACAGCCCAAGTGACATCCACGACGATGCTCAGTCAACCTTCAGTCCCAATATCCAAAGCGGGATCAAGTGGTCCCGCATAGAAGCGTTGCCAACGGCCCTTCGGCCGACTGTGATCCAGCGAACTGTGCCCCACCACCCGTGGCTGGATCTTATGCCCTTCCCCCGAATGAGGGATACTCTCATACTGGCGCAAGCCTATATGGACGATGAGCAGTTGTGCCACGATCTGTGTGGAAACAGGGTACCCTGTGCCGGCTGTCGTGATCTGAGCCGACCAGGAGGGGTTGGTGAGACTGGCGTTCTGGTTTGGCGTGACCCGTGGGATCCATCCGGCTGGGAAGTGACAGAGACCTTTGCCCGGTCATGGGGTTGGGTGCTGCAGGATTGCGTGGACTTGTTTAATTCGACCAACGCGTGGCGGATTGAGCGTGGAGAGAGGCCGCTGTTTAGAAGTGCTTTTGGAATCGACAAAAATGCTAAAGTATGACATCCGTGTCTTGGTTATTGTCACCGATTCTGAAGGGAATGTATGGACAGAGTCTGCCAAACGTCAGCAAATCACTGATGGTCTCGATATTTCCATTAAACGCTTGTGCGAATTTCTCAAAAAACGGGAACTGAAATTTGAAGCTATTATAGAATAAGTAGCCGTGGTTCTCAACTGACTAAAGTAGTAAACCTTTGTGACTTTTCAATCTGAAGCTACCGAGAGAAAAATATAGGCTCTCCGGAATTTGCATAGAGTAAAAATGGCAAACAGTTGCGATATGAACGAAAAGCTTGAGAACAGCCTTCTGATGATGAAAGGCGAGCCTGTATACAAGAGATACACGAATGCTTTGCTGCTGAGAGGAAAGATGAGAGGAAATGGGAATCTTGGACTGAATAAACGCGATGTGGTTCATAAAGACCAGGCTTCAAGGAATTAATCATTCTATCCCGAATTGACTAAGATAGTCTTTTTTGCTTCTGAAAGGGCCGAGGTGATTGAACCTCAACCGGTATTGGGCACGAGCTCATCAAAAGCAAAAAGGAAAGTATACGACGGGGTATTCTGGACAGAAAGCTTTCATGTACTAAATTCTAGCAGGGAATAAAGAAATCACTGCACGAGATGCGGTATTTCTATGTACAGCCGCAGGTTCAGGGGTATCAAATATAATCTAGTCAAGAATGTTTTTGTGCAATTCGGAGATAGCCAACGTATTGAATGCCCAGCGGAATATTAATGTTTGTTTGTCCTATGGTAATGGATCTACAATCGTACGTAATTTGTTGAGTGGTTTCCCTTGATTGCCGCGGACGATTGTGGACTCTTTGAATTCATTCGTGATAGCTGCCTAGAATTATGGAAAATGATACCCTGCTGTTCATGGGGGTATCCAAACCTTGGAATCTTATACTGAATCAAACTACGCTGCTCAATTAGCCCATTTCCTTCGCATCCAAGCCCCCTCTCTCCTCAATACAATTTACAAAGTTGAAAACTGCAAGCAATTCATGCTCCAAGGCTGAAGCGACTAAAGCGTGCCAAAAATAGACCGCCAATTGTCAACTGTTGGTTGACCGCGCAAGGCTTATCTCGAGTTTCCATGAAAGTATGGAGTGTTTTGATACTGCAATAATAAAAGCCCCTACACGATAGAGGAAAAGTTAATCTAGGACACAGCTATCCCCAGCATTTCATCCCGCATGACCCCACAGCGATCGAGCCTGCGAGGATTGTGACAGCCCCAATAGACATGTCATACGGAGACCGGCCGCAGGTACCTGATAGTCGTCCGTTCGTAATAAAAGCATGCATACGGTCAGTTCAAGCTCTAGCGCCTCCCACTTCTCCTCGAGATGGATTTCGATTTGGATGCTGTGGTCAAAGCTGTGGCTGTAGGCCTCGTGCTTGCGGCATTACACCAAGTCTACCACCGCCTCCTGCTACCTCGACCGATCCGTGATATTCCACACATTGCGGGGTCAGCCCGGAGGCTACTCGGAGACCTTCCTGAGTTGCAGAAGATAATGGCAAGTACGCAGGACATCCAGTCCTGGCTACTGGAACAGACCCGTCGGCTGAAGTCCCCTCTGATTCAACTGTTTTTGGACCCGCTGGGTAAGCCAGTTGTGGTCCTTAATGATCCACGAGAGGCCTTTGACCTACTGCTCTACCGCAGTCGAGACTTCGACCGTACACCCGTGGTACAGGACGTTTTCTCCGGCCTGTCTCCCACTCACCATATCACCATGAGCACTGGCCCCGAGTGGAAGAGACACCGTAATCTGATGAAGCATCTGGTGACCACGCCATTCCTTCAGGACACTGCTGCGCCTGCGATCCACGCGTCTGTCGTGCGCCTGGTCGAACTGTGGAGTATCAAGGGGCGGGTGTCCCGAGCGTCGTCGGCGTGCTTTGCACCTCAAAAGGATTTTCAACGCATGGTCCTTGATACCCTGGTGGAAATCTCATTCGAACGGGACTTTCCCAAAGACGGGATCTCATCGCAAATCGAGCTTCTCCAAGACGCCGAAGCCTGTGGCAGGGCGAGAGTGAGCAGTGAGCCGCAGATCATCACATTCCCGGAATCAGATCCTCACGAGTTCATCCGTGCACACGGGGTGCTCAGTGAAGCCATTGAAAAGACTGGGACATCGCTCTTCCCACGACAGTCATGGTGGATGATGTCCAAGCTACCCCGACTGGCCCACGCCCTCCGGATCAAAAGCTGGGTCACGCGGGAATAGCTCGAGACTGCGGTCTCCAGCACCGTCAGTGCACCCGCGGACTCGGCATCAGAGCTTCCCGACCGACCCCGATCGTCGGTTGAATTCATGATTCGGCACGAGAGAGACCTGGCGGAACAGGAATCCCGGAAGCCGGATTACCTGTCTCCGGCGATGGAAGACGAGGTGCGTGACATTCAACTAGAAACTACAAACATAACCAACTGCTAACCCGCTCACCACCAGCTCTACGGGTCCATCTTCGGCGCCTCGCATAGCACCGTGTTCACATTAGCCTGGCGAGCCAAGCTTCTATCCGATCACCCTCGGGTGCAGAGCCAGCTCCGCGAATGCCTGCGGACGGGCTTCCCCGAAGTCCTAGAGGCAGGACGCCCGCCCAGCGCCCTGGAACTGGCCACCCGAACCATCCCCTATCTTCACGCAACCGTCGAGGAGATGCTGCGGTTTACTCCGACCGCGTTCATGATCGACCGCATCGCCACCCGGGACACTGAGCTTCTGGGCTACGCCATTCCCAAGGGCACCTGCGTCGGGGCCCTGAGCAGCGGGCCCGGATTCACGTCACCGGCGTGGCCGATTCCCGCCGACAAGCGTAGTAGCGCTGTGTCTCGGACGGCGATGCCGACGCCCGCCGCAAAGCCAGATCACGACCGGCAGTCTCCCAGTCACGAGTGGGCTGGTGAAGATCTCGATCGATTCGTTCCGGAGCGATGGCTGGTGGCTCCCTCCGGGGCCGACGGCCCATCGACCTTCGATCCGAACGCAGGCCCAACCCTGGCCTTCGGGGCCGGACTCCGGGGCTGCTTTGGGCGTCCGTTGGCTCAGCTGCAGCTGCGCATGACGTTCGCGCTGCTGGTGTGGCATTTCGAGCTCAGGCCGTGTCCCGCGGCTCTGGCGACGTACGCGGCGGTCGATGGGCTCTTTCGGCAGCCGAAACACTGCTTCGTTGCTTTGGGGGAGCCTGCGCGGGGGGCTGGTCAGTAGTTAGAAGGATATCCACAGTCTGTGAGGTGGCTCGGTGCGTGCATATTCAACATGGTGAATGCCCTGGGCAGATGTATGTGCTGTGCATTTATAAGTTCAAGTTGCCCCGCTTTTCGGTGTTCGTCTTGAGGTCGTATTATGCTCTGTGTATATCCACCCGTATGGATCCTAGCGTTCGAGTCAATTTCAACACATGATTTAGTACTTTCAGTATCTTTTCTTGTCCCGGGCGAGACTGTTCAGCGCTATCAAGCAAACAAGACGTCTTTCAAATTTGACATTTTAAACCGGGTGAAAGGCCAGTTTGCGGTCTTCCTCCCAGACAGGCTTCTGAACCTCCGAACCCCGCAGCTAAGCGCCGATCGTAAAGACCCATAAATATAATAAGAAACGGTCGCATTGCAGCATCGCGTTACGTCACTCATGATAATATTGCAACCCATATATACTATTTCGCTGGTCACATTAGTAAACTCCGCTTGCTGAGCGAAACATATGCAAGTGGTGCTATCAAGTGCAGTTAGGTCTAAAGTGCCCGACGACCGCATACAGTGCACTACAGTCCACCACATACTAACTACTTAAACCCCAACCCCGCCCCGCCCCCTGGGACTCTCCATTTCAGTCTCCAACCACTACCACCGGCCGCTATCCCCATCCACGATGACCGGGTTAGCACGCAAATATGAAATCAACGCCGACATGGGCGAAGGCTTCGGCCGCTGGAAGATGGCAAGTAGCCCCGTCGCTCGCGTAACCACCACATAGATCAACGAATAACCAACCGACCGCACCACCAGGGCCCCGACGCAGAACTGATGCCGTTCATCGACGCCGCCAACATCGCCTGCGGCTTCCACGCCGGCGACCCAACCATCATGCTCAAGACCATCCGGCTGTGCAAGCAGCACGGGGTGCGGGCCGGGGCGCACCCGGGCCAGCAGGATCTGTTCGGGTTCGGCCGCCGCAAGATCGAGGTCGACCCGGGGGACATGTACGCCGCGGTGCTGTACCAGGTCGGGGCGCTGAAGGCGATGCTGGACGCGGAGGGCTTGGCCCTCGCCCACATCAAGCCGCACGGCGACCTGTTCTTCTACATGCAGCGCGACGAGGACATCATGCGCGCGGTGCTGGAGGCCTGCGCCACCTTCCGGGTGCCCGTGTACGGCTCCCAGAATGCTAAGCAGGCGGCAATGTGCAGGGCGCTGGGCGTGCCGTTCCAGGGCGAGATGTATGTGGATATCGACTACTCGGCTGATGGGCGGCTGCTGCCGGTCGCGCAGTCCCGCGTTCCGACGCCGGAGCTGTGCTACGAGCGGGCGCGGTCCGCTGCGTTGACGCATGTCGGCAGGGACATCGAGGGGAGTGAGTTTCGGTTGGGGTTCGAGGGCACCCCGTTTAGTATCTGTGTGCATTCGGATCTGCCGACCGTGTTGGAGAATGTGGCGGGCGTGCGCAGGGCCGTCGATGAGGCTAACCGGCTGCGGTTCCCGCAGGAGGCCGGGGTTGAGGATTCTTGATTTGAGGGCAGTACGTCGCAGAATGCTCCACCTTTCTAGGGGAAAGAGTAGTCATCGAGAAAGGTGAGGGTCGTGGGGTTGTCAACCGTCAATTGGATGCGGGTGAGGGGTTGCTATCAGATTGGAAGTGATTGCTATGGTGACAGTTATACATCTCCCGCACTCTCTAGCCTCTTGTAAGTTCGGGACACAAAAGACAATCTTGGTTAAATGCTACTTATATTTGGCGTTCATTCTCGCGTTTTATATTTTACCTTTTGGTCAATAGACCATGCTCCAAATAATCTTGACACTCTGGCCGATCGGACCTTCACCGGGCATGCTGCTTACCCCAACTCTTATCGCGTATCTCAGGCATTCATCCTCCAACTTGCCCCGCACCGATCATCCTTACCCCATCGTTGTCCATGACATGGAGCCACCAAGCTGGCAAATGAGGAGCAAGCATCCAGGTACTTTATCTTTGCGAAATATCATACAATACGAGCCGTCACTTGATGTTGTGATTTGCGGCGTTCGTCTCCCATCCGTAAAGCCCCAGCATCAACACGTGGTGGTTGCCCCAGGCACCATTTTTATCACGGCCACTCGTGCCTGCTAATTCGGTCGTTCTACTATGTGTTAGTAGCGGGCGGTCACTACAATACATCTCTTTCATCTACCATTTGTATCGGCCCTGTTCATGCTGGCTGGTAATATGTGATGATAAGTAAGCTCGATGCACAGCCCAAACCCGCCTGGCCCGCTCACAGACATTTGATTATGTAAAGAGATCTCAAAATAAATGGAGAAGAGGAGTCTCTGACTACGTAGTTCATGGCAAGGGGCGGTGGCTTCAGCGTCTGTTCTCGACAAACTCTGTCACATGGGAGTATGTGATTCCGGCTACAAGGCAGCGTAAGACCAGCAGTCGAAAAACGAAAAAGAAAATGTATTATAGCAAGACCAATGTTGCTGAATGCCTGTGGCACAACAGAGAAAGCTTGACATCTCTGATTTGTTAAGGCGAGCCACCGACTATGAGTACTCTGGGGTCTATGCCATTTTTGACCCAGTGATAAGCTGTTCCCCATGTGTCCAGAGGCTATCTCATACCTTGTACCTTGTACCAAGTGCTATGGTACTGCCCTTTTCTCCCCGGATTTTCTTAAGCTTTTTACATTCCAAGTATTCCTGTTCCCTGCTCGCAGCTAGCAATCTTCTTGCTAGGCATCATTCAATCTCGTCCATGGAGCACCAGCCATCAATATCCACCTGTTCCGCGAGCAAGGCAAATCTCAATGTCAAGGTCTGGATCTTCATGGAGATGTCATCAGTTCTGTAGTGAGGGTTCAAGGCCAGCCTACCCCGAGCTCCATAAGCCTGGCAGCCTTTGATGCTGACCTGTGCTGCGATAGGTCAAGTACGGTCGGCTGGCGCTTTGGATTCACATATCAACTGCCCAGAATTGAACAATATATGCAACAATGTAAAACAAGTTGTCCTCAGAACAAAAGTGGATGTATTTACATCCAAATGCTGGGTGAGAACATGTGGTTTCAGTCTCGTGCAAGAATAGTTGAACATAGATTCACAGTTGTGGTTTTATATACCGTGAATTTGAAGTAACCAGAGAGTAGATACCTAGTAGTCTTTCGTGGCGTCAATCCATTACGGTTTGCTTTCGATGGATTAAGAAAGTAAATAATCTGATTCTTTTCTGCATTGGAATCAACCTCACTAATTACATGGAATTGAATTCTCCGGCCCTTGACCTTTTATTGGATTCCGATTGGTGCTTCGCTTGTGGTTTATATACAACTTAGCCTTCCAAGTGTTAGAATATTCGGTAGCTGATATCCAAATCAATTTATATCTGAGTGATAACAAATTCTCACCCTCTTAATATATGGCTTTTGCTGTTCTTGATGATTCAGTTCTCGTACAAACTTCCGTCAACCCCAACGTCCCAGTCATTGATCCAACAAATTGAGCCCCTGGCAAGACACCAACCAGCTCACTGACCTGTGTCTGGCAGTACAATGGACTCTAGAACTATAGACCTTCTGTTAGTATTCAATGGCGATAGATACACAGTCCTGGTCAGGTGACATTCACTACTACTCCCTTGGGGACATCGAATGTGGACAGCGCTTTCCTCCACTACTCGTGGCAATTCTTCCCTCAACTCTCTTTGTCATCTTTCAAGTCTCCTCATCAGCTCTGAACGATGCTCCATCATTGTTTTCATACACACCTCAGCACATATCTTTATCTTGATCACCTCAATTCCCTGTCAGCCAACACAAAATGATGCATTAATCCATCCTGACAGATGGAACGTCTACCCACTGAGTTACTTTACCATATTGGTCAGTACAGCCGAGAGGAAGAGCCCCCTTTCAGGACCTTGTGGGCGCTATCATTATGCTCGTGGCGCTTCTATCACGTGTTCAAACCTCTGTTATACTCGGAGATTCGCATCACTTATGACGGTTATCGTATCCCTCTTCATGACGTTGATTTGATTATACGGCTCTGGCATGACGCAGAGCTGGCCAAGCGGGTGCATCGGCTCGATATTCACTGGCAGGGGTGTGGCTCGAGTGACCTGAGCAAGTTCGAAGACGAAAGCAAAATCGTCGCATTCATCAACTCGGCCCTGGATGAGATTTTCGGCTCCAATGCGCCCCTCTACCGGACCCGAGACAAATGGGAACACCATCTGCAGGCTCGCTGCCAAGAGGCTTGGGCGGGGATTCTTCTCGTTCGACTATCCCATCTGCGACGCCTGTTCGTGAAATACGACAATTCCGACCTGATAGTCGATATCCTGCGCAAGGCGGCGCAGCGGCAGCAGCCCTTTGATCGCACCCTGCCCTTTCCGTACCTCACTGAAGTAACCGCATCTGCCCACAGCCGCCTACATTGGATTGAGTCGGATCTCCTTACCTCCTTCTTCTACTTCCCCGCGGTCCGCCGGGTCAATGTCTTCGCCGTAGCCGAGACTGCCGCACCTGAATCGCTAGTCGTGAAACATGATTCGCTCCCCGTGCGAGTCTTAGTGGTCTCGAATGCCGTTTACTGCCGCGGGATGCTCGACTGGCTCGCGGCGAGCGCGCGTCTCGAACAGGTCACGTTGAAGATCGCTGTTCATCCCACCGATGACTACTGGGATATGCCGTCGAACGAAAGATTCCATGCCTCGAGATTCCGGCAAGCCCTTCTTCCTTGCGCCAAAACGCTCAGGTCTCTTCGGCTGGAGGGCGCCTGTAGTTACAAAGTAGTCTGGTATAACGAGGACCGCGACGAGGATGAGGAGGCCGCATTCGGGTCATTTAAAGAGTTCGCCAACCTTCAGACACTGATCGTGCGATACCATTTTCTTCTAGCACCACCCTCGGCGGATGACAAGATGCCACTTCTGGCTATACTGCCCGCTTCGCTGGAGTCCCTGGGGATCACCGATATCGAATCCGAGGATTATCTTAACCTTGTGGCGGAGCTCTTGCGGTTGGTACGGCACGGCCCGGATCTCTTTCCCCGCCTGAACGAAGTCCACCTTTTCGTGATCGACATGTGCGAGGGCCCACTGGATGCTTTGAGAACGGGGTTCGATTTGGCCGGTATCGGGCTGACGGTGGAGCTGCAGCAAGAGGAAGACTGGGAGCACAATGATGTGTCTTCCGACGGCGAAAACCCTTTTCTCGATGTTGAAGTCCAAATGGTTGGTCCGTCATAAGGGTTGAACTTTTATCTGTATTTCTATCTGTGCTGAGGTGTTGGATGAGTTTTGGTAGTGCTTGGGTAGAGCCTTAGCCATATCCTTCCGGGTCGGTACTTACTAGGTAGTCTTCGCTGCGCTAAATCGACTCACATGTCCGTGTGGGCAACGAACCCTTATCTTGCATCGTAACCGCCCTGGCTGATTTCGAAGCTGAGACGACCACTTCGTGTCTCTGGTACTCCATATGGCTTGTAGCGAGTCTGAAAGTACTGATGGGCAAGACTCCGTCTCTACCTCGAGCCTTGGGCTTTTTATGGGTTGAGCCATCATCCAACTTTTTCGACTTGCAACCGACTGACGCACTTAGCTTTGACGGAAGAGAGTACCATCCTCCACTGTGTCCATGTTTAGATTGCTGGATCGTTTGAGGAGAGTTAGATTTGATGCCACGAGCATATAAGGTTCATGTGGAAACACCAGGCATTCTTGGCATTCCAGCGTACAGGGGTGTGCAATGAAGTGCGTCAGCGCTACTGATGCCTAAGACGACTAGAATTCTTTACTTAACAGCCAGACCGGGGCGGGGAAGCTCGAGTATTAACCTCTATCTCCTTCACATGAGACCTGTCGCCTCTGCTAGAATCTGACAATCATGCAAGCCCATAATACGTTCTCCGAGCGGTTAGAGTCGCCATTCTAGTATCGCTGTCAGTCATACAATCGCCGCTTCACCAAAGCTCCATGTCCTTCTAACCATCTCATAGATGCCTTGTCTCCTTCATCGACACAGTGAATGTGGGGATGGCCAATATCGCGTTACCGACCATCAAGGAGGCACTCGGCTACAATGAAGGAGACTTGCAATGGATCTTGACCGCTTATTCACTGACGGTAAGATACACTTCCTCCATCACAAGGGCAGCGACAACCTGATGACGGGGACCGCGGCCAGTTCGGCGGGTTCCTGATGACCGGTGGCCGGCTGGGCGATATCTTCGGTCATCGAATGATATTATTTCTGGGCATGACGCTATTCAACATAGCCTCCCTCGTCTGCGCTCTCGTCCACACTCAGATTGGCCTTATTATCGGAAGAGCCTTTCAAGGTAGGATTGCCAACCTTGCGTTATCATTGATACTCATTCTTGACTACTCCCAGGTCTCGCAGCAGCATTCACCATTCCCTCCGCCCAGTCGTTGGTCGCCCTGGCTTTTGAGAATCCGAAGGCTCGTGTCCGGGCCTTCGGCGCCTGGGGTGCATGTGGCTCTAGTGGCTTTGTGTGCGCTTTCCCTTTTTCTTGTTGCTTCGTCCGACTTACATATCTATAGATTTGGTCCTATCCTAGGTGGCGTTTTCACCTCACTGGTCACTTGGAAATGGGTACGAACATGAGTTACTCCGTCTTGGTAACCGAGTCTGATTGCATTCGTCTTAGATCTTCTGGTTTTCCTTGATTGCGGAAGGTGCCCTCCAACTCGCAGTCATCGCTCTTATCCTTGTCCACGAACACCATCACCCAGCCGGAACTGGCACTGTGAATCAGTGGAAAGACCAGCTGGCGACTCTTCATACCTGTCTGGATCTCCCTGGTACTTTCTTATCGATTGCCGGCCTCATCCTTCTAATCTACGCCCTAACGACCGGGAACATCGACGGCTGGAACCAGGCTAATGTTCTTGCGACGTTGATTCTGGCCGTGGTAGTACTGGGCGTCTTTTTGGTCCTGGAACTGAAATTCTCCGCCGATCCAATTCTCCCTCGGTACATGATTACCGACCGAGTGAAAGCGCTGGGCTGTGCCAGCGCCGCCCTGACCTATGCTGTCTGGCAAGGCAGCAATTACCTCTTGACCCTTCAGCTGCAAAGTGAGCCTTTCCCCGTTGGACTTTCCATTATCCACTCCCAACCCCCGTGCCACTAACAAATAGTGGCAAAAAGGCTTCGGTTACTCCGCACTTGCGACCTCGCTACGGTTCATCCCCCTCGGTGTCACGGCGCTGGCTGTCAACTTCGTGGTCCCCGTCCTAATCGGCCCGGTCGGCGCTCGCACGCTTTTGGTGTGTAGCTGGACCCTGACGCTGGGCGGACTGGTCCTCTTTACGCGGATGGGCGGGGCCGAGGACTGCTGGCGCTTCTGTCTCCCCGGGATGGTCCTGTATATTGCCGGGGTCGGGACGGTGTATTTCGTGGGGAACGTGAGTGTGGTGGCCACCGCGAAGAAGGAGCAGCAAGGGACGGTGGCTGGGGTTTATAATGTATGCTTGATCACTTGGCGAGATGTTGTTTTCTCTTTTCCTTAAATACTCATGATCTGCCCGGACTGACTAGTCATGTTGACGTTCAGATGTTCCTGAATGTGGGCGGAGCAGTGCTGGGAGTGGCGGTATTGACCGTGATCTCCAACTCGGTGACTGCTAACCACGGAGGCGTTGAGAATCCTCGCGCTGCCTTGGATGGATATCGGGCGGGGTACTATGGTGCGATCGCAATGGCGACGCTTGGGGTGGTTCTGTCGTTGTTCTTTCGCTTACCTTTGGCTGATAGTGAGAAGGGGGGTGGGGAATGTGTTGAAGAACCAGGGACTTCAGCTTGATGTTCTGTGTTGCTTGGTATCCTCTCGGACAACAAAAGCCGAAGAGGAGGTAGGGTTGGATACGACGTTGCGTTCAGTGCGCAAAGTGGTAGTCAGGTCTGATAGCCCCATCATGATTTGAGCAGCAGCCTCAGGGCGCTCGTAACACATAGTCTTTACTACAACTATAGACCAAGCACAACTTTATCTGTGTCACATCCAATGCGGGCTACGCTGAGGCTACGAGCAAGATTCGTGTGCACGCAATGTTCAATTCGCCTATATTCAAACCAATCCATCCACAGCATCCCTCCACCAAGATCCCTCCTTTGCACAGCACCAGGCCAGCAACTACCCACAAACTTAGTAACCAGCACGCTCAAACTCCTCAACCCAGAACAGCGCCCCCCTCAATCCCACGCCGACTCTTGGGCGCCTGATCCGCAAAATCCTTCACGCCCGTCTCGATCGCATCCGAGATGCCCCCGGCAACCGTCCCCGCCAACCCCTGCAGCTCCTGGGGCACCTTGGAAACAATCGTGTCAGACAGCTTCTTGGCGGCGGCCTTCTGCTGGGTGAGATCATTGTAGGTCTGGGCGCCCTTGCCGGCCTGCACGATCAGAGACTTCTTGCCGTCGAGCTCGGTGATGACGGCGGCGATCTTGTTCTTGAGGTCGTTGACGGGGCCCGGGAGGCCCAGCGCGTCGCCGGAGCTGAGCGTCCCCGTGCCGCTGACCTGCGCGTTGCCGCTGTTGATCGCCGTCACCAGGTTGTCCGACGCCTGCTGCACCTTGGCCACGTCGCCGCCGCCATAGCCTTGGATGGCCGTCCCCAGCGCGTCGACCTTGGTGCCGATCCCCGAAAGCACGCCGGTGATGGTGGGCAGGTCGCGCTCTGCGACTTGGGTGGGCGCGGCGAGCGTGCCGCCGGCGGCGAGGCTGATGGTTAGGACGGAGAGGATGGAGAGTTTCATGTTGTTTTTGATGGAGGGGATTGAGGGAGTTGTGGGTGTGGTTTGGTGTGGTTTGGTTTGAAGGGTGGTGGGATGGTTGATGTTGATTGTTGAGGGATGGTGGATGTTGATGGATAATCCTCCCTTTATATCTATCTCTGTGGGTATCACGCGCCTCCGTGGAGATGTTGAGACCTCAAACTAGCAAAAGGATACTGTCACGATGGATGGTGGATGAAAATTGAGGCCGGTCGATCCCCAAGGGTCGGATGATGTGCACATACCCGAATCCTAAGTGATTGACAGGGACTGAATCACCGGTGGTCAGGAATGTCTCACATTCCGGGGAAGAGGAAGCAAGGCCCCAAAAACGGGGGGTGTTGGATCGGTGGTAAGTTAAGAATACAGTTGAACTACAAATGTCGAGAAGGCATCCTCATACTAATGGGGTACTGGGGTACTGGGGTGGGTCTACTTAGTCTAGTCTCTGTTGCAGATGGCCTCATTTATCAGTCAACTTTAACTTTCTCTCACACTCTCACAGGGGAAGAGCCTAAATCTTGGCTTTGTGCACAGCTGAAACTTCCAAAGGGCTCCCGGGCGGGAGCGGCAGGGCAGAATCTGCGGAGAAAGCTTTCCGCGTCGCATTTAACTTTGCTGTTTTATGCTGGTATCTAGGATGATGAACATCAAGTCGTGGCATACTTCTTTCCGAATCGTTAGCCTTGCGGTGCCTGGTGTCTTCCGGGTTTATGTGCATCGGAATTGATACTTGTAGAGGTAGGGATAGTTGGCTCAAGTGCAAGCCTGTATCAGATAGCAATAGTTCAAGACCTGCAAGAAAGCACGGATCAACTCACTACTCCTACACACCTTATTTTTTTTAGGGGGCAGGAAGGATGCCTGTGCCACGTGACACTTCTTCTCCCTGGCTCCACTGTACAAGTTACATACTGTCTGATTGGCTACATCAGCTGGAGTCACATGACCCATTTTTCGTTGACAGTGGGCCTGGCTCGGGACTGGAATAGATGAGTCATGCCGGAATATGCGCACTGTTATCAGGGCATAAACCAGAGCTGATGTTTGTCTAGTTTGCCTAGAGCCAGCGGGTGGTGGAGGCCCCAGGTCACGGGCCGATTTTTGGTCGTACCGAGGTAGGCCTAGCCTGCTACCTACTTACAATACCCTGTAAGGGCGTTCCAATACTAGCGCCGTGGCCAGCGGAAGTCACCTGCAGAAAGCCCTCTTGTTCGTGCCACGTGCTGTTGGGGCTTGTACAAGACACTGCACTCTTCATTATTGTGAATAAGATCCAACATGATGAATTCTTAGTCACTCAAACAATCATTACCAGCTTGCATTATGAAACGATGACTCGAGTACTGGGGATATAAAATACTAGCTTAGATTTCAAGAGCGGGTAGCAGGGAGGAGCAACTATATATCACTAGAATTGTCCACAGCTTCAAGTCTTGAAGTGTTTGACAGAGGTGACAAGACACGTAATGAGGGTCTAGCCTGCAAGCTACTATTTCACAATGCGGTCCACAGCCCGGGGATCTGAGCATTGGAGAGTGGGTTGCCGACGATAAGGGTGATGGGATCGGTTGGGGATTTCAGCCTGTGAACTGGAAGGTGGAACTCTAGCATTCAATCATTCTAAGCGCTGCTGTGGCTGTGCTGACCTTTCCAGTTGACTGGATTGTGGCTCACGGCGGGTAGGAGGTGGATGGAGCTGCCTGCCCAGTCTGGTGCAGTGTTGGCAGCGCATGTGCCAGCAGGTGGCTGTTTTTTTGAGCCATTGCATTCTGTTATCCCCTCTCATCACCCATATTGAGCTTTTGTTTTCTGGTAGAATCTCGGTCTGTCGTAACGTTTCTCATACCTGTGCATTGTGGCGGGAATCTGATGACGGTGCTGGTCATGCCACAGCAGTAGGTGGGTGCACATGTAGAAGCATCCAAATCACTCACGGTCGGCCTAAACACCCTCTCTGCCTGGTTCTTGCAACTATTGCGCACTACGTGGCAGGGCTGAAGAAAAACATTTACAAAGCGCCCAAATGTCAATAATTCACCTGATATGCGAGACGCTCCCTCCACGCTGAGGCGTTCTTAGGTTCCTCTCAAAGGTGGCGTAGACGAGATGACGCAGGTTGACCATACTATTCTCTCCCACCGACCGGTAGGACATATGTCCGATTTTGGCATTACCTTCAGGCGCTCTCCGCTCACTTTTGTCGCTGCAGTCTGCGGGTTGGAAATCGACACAGTGACAAGAGAGGATATAAAATTTCATCACCACCTGCCTAGAGACATCTTGCCTTAACAAGTACAACACCTTCTCTTCCCACACCATTAGATCTACTTTCTGACGGTCGCATCCCATCTAATCCTCTCTTTCCAGAGAAAACTCGTGAAGCGAAAATGAATACTAGTAGTGATTGCTATGACTGCTCGCGATTCCGCGACTTTTGCCCTGACCCTGCGGCCGCGGCCACCAACAAACTCGCTCGGCTAGCCACGCACGTGAACTACGTACTAGTACTAGAAGTCGGGCTCCGGGACCTACCCACGTGAATGGACGGCCTTCGTGAGATCCGGATCCCACCGTTTATTCCACGTATCGGCAGAGAAGGGCGGAGGAGACCTCCGGCTCCAGCGATGGCAAGCCCTCTGCCCCGCGTTGCAGGTGGAATTCTACGGTCCCCAGGACTGCATCACACAATGTCGAAAGGTACGTTCGATGCAGATACCCGAGTCCTTGCAGAAGAGGCTGACTAGTGAGAAACTAAGCTACAGGCTGTGGAAAAGGCGCATGTCAACCTGATCGATCTGATCGATTGCCGCCGAAGATGCGGTAGATGCGGTAGGCATCGGAGGGTCGATCTTCGTACGAAAAGAAGAGAACCGCTCAATCAAAGGCAGGAGAACGTGATTTTGGGTTGGAAGTGGACTTTGGTCTTTTGCTTAGTACCCACTCGTTGATGAAATCTGGCTATGTCAATAGATGTAGATACTTATGCTTTGGGTGTCGGCCCCCCTATAGAAGTCATTGCATCTCTATTGAGCTACGAATCACGGAGTATTCGATCAAGAGCCGGATGATCCATCGGATAGCCAATCTCCCCTTGTCTGCGTGATACCCGACATGATAGAAATCATCGTCGTCACCGTTTTGATCTGCTTTTCATGGCTTTTGTGTAGGGAGCACTGTGGCGTGCCGCGGCGGCGGCCAAGGTATGAACCACCCGGACGAACTCCTTCCGGTCACGCTCCTCTTTCAGTGGGAGAGCCGACAGATCCGCGCGTGCGGCCACGAGGTAGCCAATCGGTGGCAGAAAGTAAGATGAGCGAGACGGGGATGTCGCAGACGTCGTAACTTTACTCGTGTAGCTTGGAGGCCTATAAGCACTAATGCCAAGATACGAGGGGCGGCAGGCGCACTGTGTCTGCATCTTTTGGGATGTTGGCTGCCATTCCTGGCCTCTGTTCTCCGACGGGGTGAGATCTAGATTTGTCGGTCATGATGATTTATTCCCAGTCACATGGGGCTAGAGTTCTTTAGTACTCTCTAAGTAGACCTGAGCTCGGTCTCAACGACCAACAAGGCAACGATGAATCATGCCATCTAACAGTCTCTGATACCCCTGACCCTACTCGATATGCAGGGGCATTGTGTAACCACAACGTATGAGGGTTGTCTAACGGTAACAATTCTGGATTTACAGAACTGAGCTAGCCGGCTCTCATTGGGCAAGTCTGAGACTTGGGATCAAGAATAATCAAGACAGGTGGCGATTGGTGCAATTTCATGTCAAATGACTGTATAATAGCATCTCGTAGTGAATGAGCTCAATATACAAAGTCCGTCTGAGCTGCTCTGATTGGGGTTGGAATTAGCCGAGTGGGGAAAGGGGCTGACAGGCAAACCTAAAACCCCGTAAACGAGCCGTACACGATTCGTACACCACCCGTACATCACCCGTAAACAAACCCCTTTGGCCCCCCGCAACTGCGGGGAAAATTGGGCCGATGGGGGTGGACCGGGCCATCTCCACCCGACTCCACCGGAAGACTGCCAGAATCATCTCTCCACCCGTCATACCCAGGCGCTAGGATGCTAGTGAGACCCTTCGGTGCAATGAGAAAGCGATCACGGTGAATGGGAGGTGGATGCGAGGTGATTGCCACCCTCCTATCGACCACGTGCTCGGAAAACTCACCCCCCCGGAGTGGGGTCGTTGGGTTCCAGACGAGGTCCAAGTCCGGGGACTCCGCAGTAAAAGCCCAAGCTTCACTCGATTAGGCTAATGTCACCATTACCACCAGTACCGGAATACCACCAATCCTACTAACCAGTACCATCACCATCACCATCACAAGCGGTGTGTCGCAGCTATAAAGGTCGGAGATCCCCCCAGATCTCCCAGATCCCCCCTCCCCTTCTCCTGTCTCCCTCCCTTTCATCCACCCCTTTCTTCCCCAGAAATCGCCAACATGGCTAGCGACCCCACAGAGAAGGAAACCTCGGCGTTGGAGGTCGAGGACCAGCCCACCTCTAAGGACGAACCTGTCTACGATGCCAACGAGAAGGTCGACTATGACAGAGCCGGCGCCATCGGTGCTGAGGAGGTCGAGCATCGGATGACTGTGCTCGAGGCCGTGAAGGCTTATCCTGCTGCCAGCGCCTGGGCCTTCGTCATGTCATGCACCATTGTTAGCTCTTCCCCCCAATACCCCAATATACAGATCACTTGTCTAACACTTGACCTTGTGACGCCATAGATTATGGAGTCCTACTGTGTTTTCTTGATGGGACAGTTCATCGCCACACAGAAATTCGCCGATGACTTCGGGGTATATAGCGACGTCTCAGGAGTATATATCATCGAGGCTTCCTGGCAGTCAGCATTCCAGTGTAGTGGACCACTGGGCGCCTTCATCGGGGTCTTCGTGGCAGGTCCCATTACTAGTTGGATCGGATACCGATGGGCAACAATTGGCGGTCTCATGGCGTTGAACGCCTTCATCTTCATCTTTTACTTCGGCAACAGCCAGGGGATGTTCTTCGCCGCCCAGATCCTGGAAGGCATCCCGTGGGGCATCTTTATCGCCAATGCACCCGCCTACTGCGCCGAGATTGTGCCGATGAGACTGAGAGCGCCAGCGACGCAGATGTTGCAGATGTTCTGGGCCATTGGCTCCATCATCGTCGGCGGTATCACCTATCACTACCAATCCAAGAATGACTCCTCGGCCTACAGGTTTGTCTGCTCCTACCGATAAGTTCGAGCGAGTACTGTACTGACCATCTCTCTCAGAGTTCCCATTGCACTGCAGTGGATGTTCCCCACTCCTCTGGCTCTCCTACTCTACTTTGCGCCCGAATCCCCCTGGTGGCTCGTACGCCAGGGCCGTCTGGCCGACGCCGAGAAGGCTGTCAAGCGCTTGGGACGCGCCAGCGTGGAGGAAAACCCCGCTGACGCCGTCGCCATGATGCGTCGCACAATCGAGCTGGAGAAGACGGTGAAGAAGCCCACTCTCGTGGAACTGGTGCGGGGGACGGATCTCTATCGCACGTTGATCGTCTGTGGTGTGTACGCATCTCAGAATCTGACCGGCAATCTGATTGCGAACCAAGCCGTGTACTTCTTCAAACGTGAGTCCCGTCCATTCCCTCGCAACCTCCTAGCAGACTAACACCAGATGACAGAGGCTGGCATGGGCGAGACAACCGCATTTGCTCTGGGTCTCATCACGTCGGCCCTCCAGTTGATCATGGTCATGCTCTCGTGGATCCTCACCACCTACCTCGGCCGGCGCACCATCTACGTCTACGGCCAATCGATCAACTGTATATTCTTGGTCGCGCTCGGGATTGCGGGCTCGTGTGGCGCGAGCACGGCGGCGAGCAACGCGCAGGCATCGTTGGGTCTGATCGTCTCCGTCCTGTTCTGCTTGGGCCCCGCCCCGTCCTCGTGGGTCATCATCGGCGAGACCTCGTCCGTCCGCCTCCGGCCCCTCACCACCGGTGTGGGACGAGGCGCCTACTACTTCATCAATATCCCTTGCATCTTCCTCTCCAGCTACATGCTTAACACGGATAAGTGGAACCTGGGCGCCAAGAGCGGCTACGTCTGGGCCGGCACGGCGTTCATCTGCACCGCCATGGCGTGGCAGTGGATTCCCGAGATGAAGGACCGGTCCTTCCGCGAGATCGACATCCTGTTCAAGCGTCGGGTCCCGGCGCGCAAGTGGAAGCGGACGGTCGTGGACATTCGCGATGATGAGTAGGCGGGTTTGTTGTCGGGGGGGGGTGCCTGGGTGGCACGTAATCAACTCAAACTCGAAGCGAACCCTTTCTACCTGGGTGAGCCAGTTTATGCATGTTTCTAGCTTTGTGATACTTAAGGTCAAATCCACAGCTTAAAGCTCAGACACTTCTAAACGGTGAGATCGGGGGGCTTGAATGGAAAACACTTAGAGCGTAAGTGGCGCGTTCTTGTTATATGTAGCATGGGCGATATGGAACGATGTCTGGGATTCTTGGTGGTTTATTGATTGCTTGGTTGATGAACTAGCTAGAATCTCAAGGTGCAGTGGACAACTCGCGGGGTGAATCGCCTCGGATCACGTGGCCGGACGAACGCCGACAAATATCTCCTCCTATTAGTACTCCCATACCGCATCTTCATTGAAAAGGCCCATTGCTCTCTGAATCAGAGTCAAAGTCACGTTCCACATTTCCCAAATCACCCCTCTCTGTCCACATACATGTCTTTGTCCCTCCTTGCGTGTCAGGCAGATAGTCTCGTATAGGATGGTCCCGTGCCACGATCCCCTAATCAAACTCGGCAGTCTCGCACTCGTTCGTTCGCCGGGATCCTTCCGCAAACCATGTCTGCGAGCTGGATGTCCACCATCTGGGGTGATGTCCAAGCAGAATCTGCAGTGGAAAAAGCACTCATGCAGCAGGCTATTTCAACACTCATCACATGGAGACGGCGATATCTGTGTCCCGAGCAAGTACACCAAGTCAGCAACCTCGATAACTCAATTGGGAGCCAGAGATAATGGATGTATTGGGCTCTCAAGGCAGTCCCAGTGCACAAGACTTACCCAAGTCCATTTTATCGCCAACACTAAGGACTCAAAGCGTCCGCTTTCCAGGATTCTCGCTTCCCTGGTGATCGTTTGCTTAAATGTTCGGGTATCGCGGGATCGATTTCCCGAGTATCAGGGATGCCAGCTCTGCTGAGCCCTCCATAAGCTCGCCAAACCGTCGCTGAATATCCGGATACTGGCGCCGACCTTCGTTATGCTCGCCCAGAGAAATCACGATGCCAGCATACTCGAGTAGAATCGCGTTTAATATCAAGCGGCGCATGCGTCCATTCCCATCGGCAAATGGGTGTATCATAACAAAGTCGTTACAGTATCTCGTGGCCATGTGGTGACCGGATCGATCTTACGATTTTCGGCGAGTGGAGACCGACCTCACCCTGTGCCTTCCTTTTCCACTGAGGTGTGGTCTTTTCTCCATTTCAAAGGGTTGGAGATGGTGTGGGAAGGAAAGGAATTTCGAAAGACTGACAATAGTCAAAGAATACTAGGGGTTGTTTCCCAAAACCTTGTGGTGTAAGCAGTGGTGATGTAGCTGTGCGGAGGCTTGGGTGAGGTAGTGGTGGGAGAGAGAGAGACATCAGTCGTGGAGATATTATGACATCAATCCACAGACTACGAAAGGTGGGTAACTTGGGGAAATACTCCTCAGGTGAATCAGGCTGAGCTGGAGCAGTACCTAGTGAATCTGGGAAGATTCACTGTTTCCGCCTAGCAGGCAGATGTCAGTCACAGACAATAAGATGCCTCAGTGACCTTCATAGCTACTAGGTATATCCCAGCAGCCGTGCGCATACGGCCGCCATTCGGGAGCCAGCCCCGGTGGAGACTTCCGCCTGCCAAGCCGGGCGGTTTCTCGCACTCTCATTCGTCCCAAGGGTGGCAATATGTGCGTGCGCATAAGCCGGTCGATTGCCGCTTTCTTCATTGGCAGGCCTTATGCCATCATCATCAATATCAACTTCGTCGCACTGCAAGGGGGGGCGGAGGGGGGGGGTTGAATTTTTAATCAACCCCTAAAGCTTATGAATCAACTCAATTCTCTCTGGCTGGTGACGGCCGCGCAAGGGGCGAATAGGCCGCAGGTGTGCCATATATAGCCGGACGGTACCCCTGTTAGGGACCGTGAGCAAAACCAATAACTCGATCCATCCATTCAGGCATCATCTCCAACCCTTGAGAACCATGGGCGACATTTCCGATCCTGTGTCGAAGAGCACACCCAACGAGGCCCTCCAAGCCCGGTATCTCAGCGACACCACGCCGACCCTCATGGAAGCCTCGAACCCCGTCCTCGCGACCATCTGGCGCCACAAATCGATCCGCCATTTCCTCCCCTCCCCCTTACCCGACGGCACCCTCGAGACCCTGGTCGCCTCCGCCCAGAGCGCATCCACCGCCTCTATGCTCCAAACCTGGAGCGTGATCGCAGTCCAGGACCCCTCCCACAAGGCCGCCGCCGCGCAACTCAGCGGCAACCAGGACTTCATCCGCCAGGCGCCGCTCATGCTCTTCTTCTGCGCCGACCTTAACCGCCTCACAAACGTCTCGGAATGGGAGGATCAGCCCGCGAAGGCGCTGGAGAAGACGGATATGTTCGTTCTGTCGACGATCGACGCGGCCGTGGCGGCGCAGAACGTGGCGCTGGCGGCCGAGTCGCTGGGGCTGGGCATCTGCTACGTGGGCGGGGCGCGCAACAACGCCGCGGAGCTGTGCGAATTGCTGGCGCTGCCCCCGCGGGCCGTCGTGCTGTTCGGCATGGCGGTGGGCTGGCCGGATCTGGCGGCGCACGCCCCGGGTATCAAGCCGCGGCTGCCGATGCGGGAGGTGCTGCACCGTGAGAAGTGGGATGATAGCCATCAGAGGGAGGATGTGGAGCGGTATAATGCGAGCTTGGGGGCGTTCTACGAGTGGCATCAGTTGTTCGGTCGGCATAGCTGGGCTAAGTTCGTTGCGGGCATGTTGGCGTCCGGGGAGTTGGATGGACGCGAGAGGATGCGGCAGGTGCTGCTGGATCGGGGGTTTAAGCTTGATTAGGATGAGGCCAGGTGGTAGACTAGAAGACAGTGTGTTCGAAATAGATCGTGTGCTAGATCTGGAGCTACATAGTGGTGGGTTGACTGAGTAGACGGTTAGAAATGTGAAGATGTTGGTATAAGGCCTAGGGCTATTGACGGCGGGCCCGGGGAGCCTTGCTTGAAACTGCCAGCTAACCGTCTACCTCGGTGGCCTCGGCTAGCTTCTCGTAGATAGCCTGACGTAGTCCGAATCCATCCATCATCAAATATGACGATTCGATAGGCGGTAACACGCCTGGTGATTGCATGCTGCATATATACTCTAGATAGTTACTTGACAGAGGTACAAAGAGACTCCCCTGCACAAAGGTTGCAAACTATATGAGCCAATTCAAATGTCATAATGATGATCTTCTTGTGTGTCCAGCAACACAAAATTCACAGAATGTGGCCAGGCACGTGACCGAAGAAGACTTACTAATTCTTTCCAGTGCATTCTCGGAAACCAACCACAACCACAAATTGACTTGCAAGAACTCTTACAAAAAGGCGCAATGCATCGATAGCAATGCCGCGCGCATGCAGTCGATCTTGTGATCGATGCTACAGTATCAAGGAGCGGTGTTCCTGGGTGGAAGGCTCGAGCCAGTGCATGCGATGCTCCCGCCTCGGCTTCACCTGCAGCAAGACCCGCCAGGCCAAAAAGCCCGGTCGACGCGTTCTGTCCGCCGCAGCACTGCAGACCAATCGCCCAAACACCAGAAGCACCAGCGTACTGCCGAGAGCTTTTCCGTCGGCCGGGCAGATCAACCTGATCCACCACTGGATGTCCAACTATGAGACCTTTGACCGCTTTCTCCTGGGCCCCGCCTTCTGGCCGCGCCACTGCGCAGCGCTGATGACGCATCTGGAGCACTCGCAGTCCGTTCTCGAGCATGCCTACCTGGCTTCCGTGCTCTCCGCGACATACTCGGCGGAGAACAGCCGCCACACCAGCCAGCCTCCAGATGGGCTGTCCACGGTCTACCGGCACGCCTCCTCCGCGCTGCGGAGCCTGCGCGAACTCCACGTCACGGATCGCCAGCAAGCATCCACGTGTCTCGTCCTGGGCACGAACATCATGCTCTTCGCCATGTTCCAGCGACCCGAGAACGTCTTCACGCTGTGCCGGCAGACGCTGGTCCTGGTCCGCCCCGTGTACGACACCATCGACGGGCCCGACCCGGAGGACTTCTTCTTCCTGACGGGTACGATGATGCTGGAGATGGTGGGCAGTCTGATCTATGGGGCCGTGCCGGCGCTGAGGTTCCGCTCCCCGAAGTCTCCGGTATATGTGGATCGCTACCTGGGGCTGTCCACATCCCTCCTCCAGCTGCTTCACCGGGTCGGGGAGCTGAATTCATCACTCTCGGTTGCTGTCGGTCCCAATGTCGCCGTCAACCCTATGGCGTCGCGAGGCCTCGACGAACTGGAGTCGACAGTCCTCGCATGGCAGCCCGATGTCCCTGAAAGCCTCTGCTCGGTGTTCTCGGCGGTCGAGATCGCACACATCTTCTGCCAGGTGCAGGCGATGCGTCTGTGCGCGCTGCTGCTGATCTACCGTCTGAAGATCCCCTTCGGGATGCATGACACACCTGCGCGAGCGATCGCCATCTCAATCCTCACGCAGTTGCAAACCACACTGTCCGTAACAGGGAAGGCGGTCAAATTCGCCATGCTGCCCGTCCTGGTGGCCTGCGTCGAGCTGACGACCCAAACGGAACGAGACGGCTGGCTGTCGCAGGTTCCAGAGCTGGTCTGCTGCTCACGGGCGTATGGCCTATTCATCCAAGGGGCTATCCGGGCTTTCTGGACGGCCCGGGATGCGGGGGTGGTCTTTCGAGGGTATAATATCAGCCGGTTTGCGTCATGCTCTGATGATCGAAGCAGAGCCCGCAGCAAAGACTGCAATGAATGTGGCACTCCATCAATAGCCGGGACTGCGCATATCTAGTCTGGATGCTCCATCAATGGCTCAGATTCGGTGCCCAGTTGAAAGAGGCAGTAGAGGCGCTTCTGCTAGGCTTCATGGTGCCGATCGCGCGATCACCCGTGATCAGCTCTGCGGTAAGATGGATATGGCGATGGTTTCTAGGGTCAGGTAGACATTACTAGGGAGAATAAAACTTTTCACGGATCCGAGGCATTTTGAGACCAATTGTGTGGACGTCTATCATGAACCCTGTTGAAACTCATCACCTCTACCCATCGTTCAGATCGTATAGCCCCGCATCCTCGCAGAGAGCAGGGCCCCTGGGAACTTGGCAGGAGCACGAGTGTTCGAAACCCAGGGCATCGCTTTGAAAGCAGACTCCCACGGGATTACTTAAGCATGGATCGATTTAAGGAGTCATTTGCATTCCTTTCCGTGTCGCGCATGTATGTACAGTACAAGGCTCACCCCGGCGGTCGCTGCCTGGGGCTTTTCACCTCTGACGCAAAATCGGCCGTGGCTAATCTCTAAAGTAGGGCGTTTCCGGCTACAGTATCAGGATGGTTTAGAGACATAAACACCCCCAATGTTCAGGCACACTATTCTCAAAAGATTTACTAGTGGCTACTGTCTCAACTACCAACCGGATGATCTAGAGAAACGACTGGTACCTCAGATATTGACACCGAACCGACCACAATAGAATTGGCTGCAACAGGGCCGGATCTAAATACGAGATAATATAAGCTACGCTGGAACCCTAAATGGCTATTATCAGTAGCTGTAGTAAAGCCTATAGCAGCTCGGGTTAGAGAAGAGATTTCGACTCGCATCTGTCAGAACAAGGTTGCTCTTGTCTCCCTTCCGAAGGGTGCTTGACATATTTGTCCGTGGACGGATCAACTCCAGTATTGAGTACCACCTGAAGATTCCTCTGACCATTCCTTATATGTAGTGCTCGGGAAGATCATCTGGCAGTGTGGTATTGGACCTTTTCAAGGATGCACCAAGACTGAGACCACCTGTATGTCAATTACTCTTATCCAACTGGGAGGGCTGGCTAAGAGAGCACGGCAGTGTACGATGTTGGGGGAGCTGGCTTGGTCGCCCTTGGTGCGTATTTTTGGGTCGCAATTCAACAATTGGGGCTGTGGTTTAGTGGTATAATATTCCCTTAGCATGGGAGAGGTCCGGGGTTCGATTCCCCGCAGCTCCATCTTTTTGGTTTTTTTCGCCTGTGGTCGGTTTCATTGCGGTGGGCTGTGCAGCATGGTGGGTCGCGGTCTATTCATTGGCTAGAAAGAAGAGTCGGAGATCAACGAAGAAAGGCGCATGACAATTCCACCCGAAGACAGTACCGGACAGTCTACACCCAGCAACTTGGAAGACACATTCTTGTGAACTCTTGTGAATAAGTGAAATCCACATCACTTAATCAATCGGCTGCAACTTATATTTCCCTCCACAAGTGGTAGCTCACCCCGCATTAGTAGTTGACAAGGTAGCAAAATTAGACACAAGAGAGGGGCGTCGCAGGCCCATCGGGGGTCAAAAAAGAACAAATGCTCACACTCGGACTCGAACCGAGGATCTCAGCATTACTAGTGCTGCGCTTTACCATCTAAGCCATGCGAGCGGTTGATGCAGTTTAACTGGCAAGATGCCTATATCATCAGGCTGCATACCTTGTCAGCGACATTCTTGCCATCTTGTCCGCTTTCAACCATGTGAAATGTTTCAAGTAGCATCACCTGGCTTCAGTATCATGGCCTAATATCGTTATCCTCTCTATCTGCCTATGCTATACGTAGCAGTTGATGAGAAGATGAATTCTAAGAGCCGGGGCTGGTTTCCGGACTGTAATGTTCGAAGCTGGCAATAATTATATATTCCGAGACGTAGTAGGGACTTGTACTAATTGACTGACATCTCACCCCCACCTGACAACTTGTCTGTCTAATTTCCAGTATTTTTTTTTTCTTTTTCATAAACACATACAACCCAGCACTGGAGATCTATAACTCACGAGGTTTGCTACACAGCGAAGTGGACGGTAAATGATATAGTATCAACCAACCCAATATCCCACTAACTCCCTGTGGGAATAATTCTACCTATCATACCACAACTGGGTGACTATATGATGACCATATTAATCCACCTGTCACATACATAGTCCAGTAAACCCCCATCATAACTGGCTATCAGACACCGCTCATGGAAAATCGAAGGCGTCCGCGGTCTCCGACGGAATCACAAAGAATATACTGCTTCACTTGATACGGCCGATGAAGGCTTTCGCATAGCAGGAACGTCTATCTTGAGTCACTCTCATCAGACATGCAGAAACCCGCATCAAGCTGCAGATCCCATCTTCACAGCTTTCCATCGTCTCCCTGCTCAATCCTGCCCATCAGTTCGACCACATCCTTCGCAATCCGTCTCGTCTTCCGATCCAAGGCCGTAACCGTAGATATCCAGATAAACCTCTCCTTCCAGAATGCCCAGCGCTCCTTTGACCAGCCCTCCGATCCCTGCCACTTATCATACGCCCGGGTCTCCCGTCCCAGGGACCCCTGCTTCTCATAGATCTCCTTCCCACAGTACTCAAGCCATACGGCTGCCGCCGGCACGAATCCATTCAGCGCCCTGACGTCGATGATTTCGAGCGCCTCGTCGCGCTTCATGTTGTAGAAGTCCTCCTCGTCCTCGTCACAATCTTGGATGGTGTTCTCGATGTGCGGATGATGGAATTTCTCAAAGGGGGCATGCTCCAAGGTTCTGCGTAGCACCCACGCGCCGTGATTGATCAGGAACCCGAAGCGGTTGGGGCGGGGCAGACGCTGGTAGAATTTGATGGTGAAGACATTCGCGTTCAGGAAGCGTTGTCGCTCGGTCTCGCGGGTGGTCGCGTTGAAGCAGTGATCCACGTCTGTTTGATGTTTAGTTTCCGCGCCAGAGAGAGAGGCGAGCTGTTCGCTTGAAGGTGCTTTTGGGAATTGTCAGGGGAAGGAGGAGACGCACAGTCATAAGTGAACTCATCCAAGTACATAGCGAAGCCTTCTAGCCATTGGAATTCCCCATCGCAGTCAGGGAGCTGATGCAGGGCGATGAGAAACTCCACAAATCGGTCGCAGTGCTCGGGGAAACGCTCAACGGCGCCTATGAAGGGTGACCACAGATCGCCGTACTTTGGATCTGGGTCTGCTTCGGCGATGGCGCGGGAGACGCATGCCCTGGCGACTTCGGCAGCAGGAGCAGAGGGGTCGATCAGCAGGGTCCGGAGAGCAGACAGTATCTCTGGACGGGGAGGCCATTCGTCTTGCGCCTCTGCAGCAAGAAAGGCTTCATATTCGGGGATCATGCTCATCTTGATGGAGGTATGGAAGTGAGGAAGTGATGGAGAACAGAGGGATGGGTTGGTGAGATCTTCTTGGGAAAGTGGAAGAGGAAGGAAGAGGTAGGTGTATAAATGTTCGCCGAGAGATGTTGATTTGGACCGTTCACAGTGTGTTTAGGTGGGATATGTCTGACTCATTCACTAATCCCTGCTGCTTGACCTGGACCCTGGCACTTTATTTCTTGTTTGCTTGTTTGTTGGGGGCTTGATAGTAAACAGCCCCCAGATTGCGCCCCGTTTTGTCCTACTTTCACTTGTAAGCGCCATCGCGGCTTACCCGCAGCCAACATAAGAAGATGCTCGGGATTGGTTCATGGATGATGCTAATCGTTCCCTCATCGCTACCAATACTCCCATCTGATTCACAGCCCAACCTTGACAGCTTCGCCAACACAAAATCGCAATCCAAGAAGGAGGAAAGACAAAAACGAAGCAAACAATGACTAGCTCCTCAGCAATTATCCAACAAAAAGGTCCTTGTTGCTTTCCCCACCACAGACGTAGTACAGTCCATTACAGTCTCAATCTGAAACTCTCTGCACACACTGCGAGATTATGGCGGACCCCCACCGGCATCATGGGTTGAAAGGCTGAAGCGACAGAAGCGATAGAACAACAACTAGCCAGAACGGTTGGTGCACCCTCTGAATGATTACGCCCCATTCTACCATTGTATTCTGGCCCAATGTGAAACCGCCTGACAGGTGATATGGTCTTGAAAAGCACGCGCAATGGATTGAACTCAGCATCTGGGATCTATAAAGAGACACTAGAACCGTGTAGTATAAGGGGCATATTGTCCTCTCACAATAATTAGCTCGCAAGGCATCAAGCGAATATCACACAGCCCTTCTTGCTTGAAATCCACTCCCGTTGCGTCTATAAGAATGCCTTCCATCATCAAAGCTCTCACTCTCCACGCTCTGCTGACTGGAGCCTTCATGTCCCAAGCTGCCCTCGCTAGCCCCCTGTTTGGCTTCAATCCTCGTGATACCATTGTTGATGAGGGATTTACTGGCGAGGACTCCACCTTCGACATCTTCGACAAGCGGGGCAAGACATCCCCGAAGCTGGCCACGGCAGACTTTCCCAGCAAGAGCCACGCCTGCCCCAAAACCGACAAATACACGGAGACCACCTACACTTCCGGACAGCTCACAAAAGCCTACGTCGAGGCTGTCAAGTATGCGAATGAGGGCAAGCAGATTGGGAAAAGTAAAGATCTCTTTGCCCCCGCTTCTTCCCAGAGAAGAGCTAATGAAGTGACGCAGACAAGTACCCGCACGGCTACGCGAACCACGACAAGCTACCTTTCGAGTGCGGCTCGAGCAAGATGGAGTTCGTTCTGGACCGCGAGGATCCCGCTCGGGTCTTCAACGGCGGCGACGTCACGGCGCTGCCGGATCGGGTGATCTTCGAGTATACTGGATCGGGCAAGACTGCGAAAGCGCGGTTCTGTGGCGTGATTCGTCACGCTGGTAAAGGGCTCGCCGACTGTCCCGCTACTTGAGTAGCGATCTTCATATTGTCAGGAGTTGTTACTGTCTTGCGGCAATCGAGGATTCGTGTGTCGTGGTAATAGGGGTATAGAGTTGTGTAATGGAATCCTTTAACGGCGATGGGATGGGCCCGTAGCTTGATATGTTTGGCATGACGGTTGAAAGGCGAAGAGCCAAGGGCTAACTAAGTGCCTACCTTATCGTCAATTTTCAACATTAGATTGACTATAATGTCACTGCGCCAAATACTAAGAGAACCGGGCTCAAAATGCCAAGGAGGAGATTCCAGCTTGACTAGCTTTGTTCGGCATGTGATTTGTAAGCTCATACGGAATTGACGAACTAATTTGGTGACGTGGCTCTATTTTCCGCCTATATTTGCATTTAAGTATCACCCTCTATCTCAAACCTTGATATAATATTCTCTCAAAAAAACCCATCTTCCCTTATCGACCTTATCAGTCCCCCCAAGTTCCCCGCATCAACCGGATCAACGGCTATCACCATGAGCTCAAACGCGGAGTCAACCCGGGACGTGCTCCGAGTGGAGCCCATCACGGACCCAGCCGACTTCGACCGCTTGTTCCAAATCACCGCCCGCGCCTTCGGCCACCAGGTCAACGACGGCGTCTGGTGCGCCATGAACCCCGGCTGGGACACGCCGGAGGGCCAAAAGAGGGGCAGCGCCCGCTTCGCAGCCCGCTGGTCGTCCACTACAACCGACCGACACGGCCGTCCCAACACCGTCTTCCTCAAGGCCGTTGTCCCACGCCCAGAAGGTAGCGCCGCAGGCGACGAGGAAATTGCCGGCGTGGCGATCTGGGTCCAAGCGTCCCAGGTGGCCGGATACGGGGACGCTCCCGTTGTCGATATCGGTGAGACGATGGACCTGGAAGCCTTGATCCCCGGGAACCCGGCCGAGCAACAGTATCTGCGCCAGGTGGTGTTTGGGCTGCAGCGCCGTCGCATCGAGTACGTCCGCGAGATTGCGGGCACGGACTCCCCCGCGGTGCTGGTGCTGGATCTATGTGCTGTGGACCCTGCGTTCCAGCGGCGGGGAGTCGCGACGACGTTGGTGGAGTGGGGGCTCCGCGAGGCGCGGGAGCGCGGTGGGCTGGAGGCTGTACTGGAGGCGTCGAGCATGGGGCGGCATGTTTACCGCAAGCTGGGGTTCGAGCAGGATGGCGGAGAGTTTGTGTATGAGGTGGATGAGGAGTTTCGGGATCGCGAGCGGCCTTCGAATGTGTTTATGCGGACGGGTAGACCGGGGCAGTGAGGGATTCAGACCTCAGTGCTAGAGATAAGTTCGTTCGTGGCCGTAGGATGCTCCTTAACCGCCTTGTGAATAGCATGTGTTGTGTACATACAATGTATCTCCATTATCACACAATGGAAAATTCAACTGGGAGCAGCTGGGCATAAAATCTCATCAAAGTCTACTACAGGCCCCGGCAGCATGACCCTGAGCTCGCTCTCCGTCTCCAGCGTACCCTAAGTTAGATGACATAGGTTGCTCCGACGTTTTCCCGCTTGGTGGCGCGTTCAATCTCTTCCCATTCTCGTCTGTGCTGTCTTAATCATACCATTGTATACCATACCATTGTATCGCGAGTTGAAGCAATCTATCGTCGCCGTGACCTGTGCAGAGCAAAGTGTGATTGCCTCTGTATATATCTGATATCTTCTTCGCCGGCGGTGGTTCGACTTCCTGTTTCAGATGCCATCACTTTTATGCAGAGATGGTACGGTCGGTTCAGAAAGACCTTCGAATTCAAAGGTCCAACAACACATCGTGGAGGGTCAAAGGCGCGTAGATACGTAATCTTCAACCTTCTTAAGTACATTTGGGGCTTCAGAATGGTTTGAGAAGCAGGTATCAATCGTCCAAGAGCCCACCCTCACAAAGAAGCATCAGCCAATCAAAAATAGTACTGGTGCTGGCAAGATCCTGGATAACATCTGGTAGCGATGCAACCCACGTCTAAATCATGTCTCAAGCAAATTACAGAAAGCTCAGCGGCAGCGTATCTGGCTCCAACTTCACAGGGGAAGGTGAGCTGCGTAGCAGACTTGCTAAGCGTCTCTCCCTTGGAATTCTGGTAGTTCAAGGATTTGGTAGGTACTCTGTCCGGATATAAATAACAGGGATCTTCTTAAATTGCCTCGCGATAAACTTGATAGCACGATAAGTCTTTTTCTTGCGGATCCCAACCAGGTAACACTGCTTCAACTCCTTAGCAAACAACTGGAGTACTTGGTCAAAGCTGGGTCTACAGAGCTCCAAAGCTTTTACAATGGCCCGAAAGAGCACCACCTTGTACCAGAGCAGGAGATTAAGGACCCCCTAATTACTCTACTAATAGAAAAGGGGAACAGTTAGTGCCCTTTCCATAGACAACATAACAATATCTAACTTTATTTCGATCACACAGACACAAATCGAGAACATGGAAAGCTTGCATGACAGCCGTCAGGCAGGCTTAGCATCGAGCAACTATGTTGTTGCACTCCAGAGCCAGTTCCCACAGGCAGCTGACCCCGACTTCAGAGTTTTCGAAGCCAATGATGACTCAAGTATCATGTAAGCATAGGCCTGACTGTCTCCTTTCTGAGCTAATTTCTTCTAGCAGGTTTGAATTTGAGAACATCAACATCATTAAAGTGGCGAAAGCCCAGGCACAGCAACAATCGCCAAGGTTAAACATTTACTGCATTTGTTCTACAACTGCGTCAGTACTTTTAACCCCACAGTTGCTATTCCTTGGATTATGCCGCTTTCGTCTCCAAATGTTGCTCGCTAGGACTCTGGACTTAGTTATGTCGTACAGAATGCAGCTTACCACCGACAGATGTCGATCAAAGGCGTATTAGCCACCCAAAGATCATCATCTGTGCTGAATTCCAGCCACAGGCCCTCATCTATGGTTCGCACCGCCTCCTGCCAGATTTCTTTGTTTCCTGATGCTATCTGGTTCCTGCAAAGTTCAACCCGGAATCGGTACCGTGGAACCTCCAGTCAAAAGCATACGACCGATCATCTGGACCCCGTCGAGGCTGGTCTGGATTCATGTCTCCAGATCATCGCCAGAACAGCTATCCCGTGGATATTCAGGGAGTATAGACCCATAAAAGGCCTGTTTATCCGCAGGAATCGCCCAGCAAACTTGATGTGTTGACGTCCCTCAAGATCCCAACGGCAATGCCATTCGGACACTTCTTCAGGCATGCAGATGAACCAGCCGCGCACCAAGGCTGGGGTCCTCTAATTACAGACTCCAAACAACCTAACCCTCTGTTCACCCGGCTCCTAGATGCAATATTCATCTACTTCACCCACACCCCACCAGTCGACTCCAGGGGTTTTGATCCCGTCAAATATGCTTCTGTCTTCACAGCCCTCTTCTACTCCGACAACAGCAACCTCAGTCGCCGTTACTACATGTTTGCCTCAGAGAATCACATGCCCGCCCCTGAGCAATTTGCGTACCAAGCCATGACAATATTTTACCGCACCCATGACATCCAACACGTAATGAATGGCCAAACCCCAGTAATGACCAGAGACGGATTTCATCTGGTAATGTTGAGAGATACGTTGGGGGATCCCGAGATACAGTGCCAAAGATTCAATGCGTTTCTGGCCGCCCACGGAGGTGATTTGGTGGATCCCATGACTGGTCGGCGGTTTCCGTCAGTGCCCATTCCTAGGGATTCAGTGCCCAGGGAGAGGGATTCGGAGACGTGGTCGAGAGAGGCGGAGATGAACAGGGATTTCAACGAGGAGTTGGGCATATATCTGGAAGAATTGAATAGGATGGGAGCTTGGAGTCATGATACGACGATGGCTAGTATGTCGCCTGGGGTGTGGGTGAGTGGATATCTGCGATAGCTACCTGCCCATATTCTTACTGCAATATGCCTGTGAGAAATGTTAATTCGAACATTACCTAGCAAGAAATTGATGGAATTCTATTATGAAGGAAACAGGAATGCCATACATTAAGTCGGGAATATAACGATGCCCAAAGTGCTTTGGTCCTGGACATTGTTCACAGGTCGGTTGAAGCTGTATTCGTACATACCGGCGGTAAAAGCCAATCGATGGTACGAAAATGTACTGGAACGAGGGCTCAGCCTCCATGCCGATGGCCCTTGATACATCTTACAGGAGCAATGGTACCATGGCTTATTTCCACTGCTTGAAAGCTACTATCGTGCTCCGTCATCGTTCGCCACAATTGAATTATAAGTACGGAGATATCGCAGACTGTAAACCAACTCTACACGTATGAGCAAGCAAGAAGGGCTTAGGACATGGAGAAAACTGGTGGTATTCACCGATAGAATATGCAATATGACATGACGTAGTAATCACTTTTCCGCAACGCAGACCTTTCATTCCAACCGAGCAAAGGAACAGCAATTGTGCTGACCCTCGCCATGAAACCTTTGATTCTGCCCGAGAGTCACCAAGAAATTTAGCGTATTATGATACTTCGCCAGGGCCGTCAACGAGTCCATTATTTTCTGCGTCTGGAGCTGATCCCACAATCTTGACACTCCCACATCCAACCAGAGCAAAGGGAGCCCAATTGCGAGGAGAGGTAAAGTCCACTTTCCCCTGCATTATCATCGCCCGTAATTGATTCAAATGAAACTTTAGTTTGCCATAATCACCGTCCGGCCTGGCACTTGTGTTCTTGGTGGCTCGCCAGAGGTTCTCCAGTTCATCAACTAGTGCAAGTGCGTTTCGTTCGTCCAGCCGGTAAAAAGCTCGGACGGCCTGGTGCCAGGCGTTTGCCACACATATCTCAGCGCCTGGAGGGGCATTTCTGTGTCTTGATAGTACCTTGTAAAACAGATGCATCAAGAGCATGGCTAGTTCGTCGCAGACTCTCCATAAGCCCCCAAGAAATGCCCGGGCCCCGGATTGAAGTACAGCATGTGCGAACCCCACAAGGTCGTCACCGGCGTTGATCTCGCCTTTGCCGCTGAGGCAGCAGCTGAATACCACCAGCGAGGCGCTGCAATCCTTTGTGGCCATGTCGAGGACACGAAACGTGTCGCCGAGGATTGTGGATTCCCAGGGAGAGGAGTAATTTTCTGTACCATGAGCTGCGATATGGATGAGCTCAGCTGCTTTCATGGCTTGCGGGAACTGGTCGCTCGTGACCGGTTCTACGCCAAAGGCACTGCAGACTGAGACCACTTCAGGACCAACATAAACTATCGGGTTGGCTTTATCACAGTCTGCTACCGCGCAAATCGTGGTCCCCGGCTGGGATTTGGCTGCCTTTTCAGAAATCCGTCGCAGAACAGCCAAACTCGGTACCTGGTAGAACGGTTTTGTTAGAGCCAGGGGCTCGCCGTCTAGCATCAATGCACCCAGAGGAAAGACGTTCAGATATGAAGTAGGCACAAAAATGACAGTATTGCTGCCACGAATATGTTCAGCAAAAGGTTCAATCAGCTGGGTAGATATCCTAGCCGCGATATCATCAAGACCCTCCTTCAGATTGGCCGCCTCAAGGGGCGTTGGGTCCTTTTGGAAGGCCAATATCTTTCCAAGATAGCCAACAACTAGTCTGCGTAATGCGAATGTTCCGAGGTCAGACTGGTGCACGGATTGGATGCCTGACGATGAGATGCACAGGGCAATTGTGCCACTCATACAAACGCCGACTTCTATGACGATCGCGTTCGCAGGAATTGAGCGAAGAATTCCATCCACATCTGGGACGAACATGGTGTTTTTGAAGATCTGTGCTATGGTCTCGTCCCTCCCCTTAAGAGCCTCTCCAACCGGATCGAATGTATCCGCAGATATTCCGAGCTTCTCTGCAACATTCCGTGCCCTCTTCAAAAGGTTCTGCTCATCCCCAGGCCTACGCTGTGAATGGATTAATGTTGACAGCAGGCGATTTCGGTATAGCTCTTCCATCGACGCTTGAAGGCTCTCCACACCTGCAGAATCATGTGCCTGTAGTATATCGAGTAAAGTTCTTGCCCGGCCGCGCTCAAGGAAGATGAGCGCCTGATCTAGCCAAGAGGATGTCGGCAGGCGGTACTCATCTGGACGTTTTGCATCAGTGCGCCTCGAGAGGGCGACTGATGTTCGAGCCAGCCCGCAGAATAACTCTGCAGTGTGCTGCGTCGAGTAAGCTTTGCGCCGGTCGTCGGGGTTTGGAATCATAGTTCTCAGATTCTCGACCTGGTGTAGACCGTCTAGATAATTCTCGATCGCTTTGTCGAGCTTCGAAGCCCGCTCATAAAAAGCACCGATGAAGGTGAGCAGTTGCCAGGTGTCTGGCTTTGGCTGTGTCCTTGCTTTATAGAAAAAGTCGGGGAGCACGGTGGCGATATTCCGCAGTATCCTAGGTCCCTTATCCCAAGCCTGGGCCATGAAGCACATGGATATGTCCTGCTCGGCAGTATCCCTATGAACTTTGATCGCGTGTTCCCGAACATCACTGGTGACTCCTTTACGATCGCAGACCAGACGAATGTCCTCTACCCCGCCTCTAACGAACCAGTCTGAAAGATAATGTGGAAGAGCCTGTCTCATTTCATCCACCCGATCAAGTTGTGCTAGGGTCGGGATCATGTAGTCGAGCACCTCCCTTGTTTTGAGAGTGCTCTCTGAGTCGCAGGTCGAGACAAACGCTTCGAGTTGGGCATCGGCGGCGTCCATATCCCCCAATCCGATCGCCTTGAAGGAACCCCCAATGGCTCGGGCGTAACCCGCATTGAACCCTTTTCGCGCCTCAAACGTTTGGCAGAAGTACATCATTTCGGTTTCCATTGACCCAAGTTCTGGGTCATTAAGATGCTGCTTCGCCTCGTCACTCAAAGGCGCAAGGTCAATGAAACCAGAACTCCCCTGTGGCTCATTTGGCTGAAGGCCCCGGCGTACTTCCTCCCACTGCGAACGTAGATTCTCATCGCCAGTCATCGAACAGACGGATTGGACCAATCTGTCGAACTCGAGGAGGAGCGAATTCCTTGAGTTACGGAGGTTGTGAAGGTCGGCTTTGTGAGACACACTGTCGTCGATGTATGCGAATGCGCGGTGTATAACTCCAGAGGGCTTTATGCTCTCTGACATTTGCCTGCGCGAGCGTCCAGTTATGTGTTTGCCTGAACAGTGTAATAAATGCTTCCGCTGTAAAAAGGGAACCTAGAGGACTCTCCAATGCCTCGTGGTAGACAGCGGCACATTCACAACAAGCAGTAGCCACCCTAGTGTTCTTGTGCTGCACGAACTGGAAGTGAGCAAATCGAAGTATCAATGTCCCAAGGAAGTGGGAGAGTTTGGAGCTTTGCGCTTCGCGCAACTCGGTCCCTAGGCGTCTTGCTATCTCCACAGCGGATTTAGTCTGTCCACGGCTACAGTTAAGTAAAGCGAGATGACAGGTAATCAGCTGTTGGTTAAAAGTGTCGTTGGCGAAAAGGCTGAGTGCTGTTGTGAAATTTTCCTCAGCCTGTTTGAACTGGGCGCAGTCAGGTCCCGCCTGATATCGGATTCCTGCTGCATGATTCACGCACCCCCTGCGCAGGGAGACAGCGGCTTGACCTCTTGGGGCACACGCAGCCTCCATATAAAAAAGAGCTTCATCATAGCGCCTATGAGCCTGCTCGTTATCCTCCAATCGAAACGTTGACTCTAGTGAGTCCCATGCCATATTTTCCCACCCAGTGTCGCGCAACTCACACATCAAATTAAACGCTACAGGGCTCGTGTATGAGGGTGATAGTATGCGATCGCCTTCATTTATTCTGCACAGGCCCAGCCCCGCATAGTCCAGAGCATTTTCATATTCGACTCGGAGGTGGGAAAACGCCTGGTGATCACTTGAGGCTCCCTTCGCCCTTTCAATATCGTTGGACATTCTCTGCAAGAGATTCTGGAACGTTGAATTCCCTGCATGACTCATGTCGCTTGCCAGCGTCCCGGACAAATATGGAACTGGGAAATTCAGGAACTCCAGGTTCCGTTCCTGGCCTTGTGGTAGAGACTCCGCGGTAACAAGTGGTGTGAAATCACGGTGTTCAAGGTAGGAAAAGTGCAAAGTATCCAGGAAAGACCATACGTCCAGAATCACGGCCTGTTCTAGTCTCTCGACCACGGTTGTACATTCGGCAACACATATGGCTCGTCCAGCCTCTCTGGCCTGTACGTGCAGAGTCACCACTTCAGAATCGTCCTTCCACAACCTTGCGTACGGATCCCCAGGGATCATCGCAAACGCAATAGCTGTTGGTCGATGCTCCAGCATGGCAGCGTAAAATTCGTACAATTGCCCACGGAGCACCCAAATCCGCTCTAGCCCTCGATGTTGCAAGCCTTGAAGGGTATGTATAAATTCATAAGCCCTCCTGAAGTCTCCTGAAAGCGTGTAGTAAATGGCTCGCAGAAGGGTCGTTCTCGCTCTCGCAGTTGTTGAACTTGGTCCTGCGATAATCTCTTGCTCAAGAGCCGCGATATGACGGTCCGCGTCCTCATAGTTACCACGAAACTCGTCCGGGAGTATGGATCCCCCGAACACCTCGCAGATCTCGATAAAGTCCATTGCCACTAGCAGTACCCTTCGACAGGCGAGATTGAATGTCTTGTAAGAAGATGTTTGGAGCCCAAGGGTTGTATGATTTTATGAACTAGTGTCGTAGCGATACATATCCAGGCAAGATGATACTTTCTCCAGTCGTGGGCGAGGGGTTCTGTTCGTATAGAAGTTGGACAGCGGTCCTTTGCAGCCGCCTACCAGTGCACAGTCCCGTACAGCGCCCCTCGTTGATCTTACTTACCGGGTCTGGTTCATTGACAGGCTGCTATCCCCATGGCTCAACCCGAGGATGCGCAGGATCACAAGGTCTATGACAATTGTTCTAGATCCCCAACGGACTCTGAAGACACCTCCTGATTGCACAGTCACTGTTCTAGGTCGCCAGTGCCGTGTCCGATGGCCAGCACGAACCATAGACGCTCTGACAGGTTCGGGACCGCTTTCAGTACTGACGGATGGCGGTTTCGATTGCATCATCATTTCTCAGGCATGCTAAGCCGCGCAGTCAGAGGTCGAGTGCCCCTTAATAACATCTCGTGTCCTCAGACAGTATGCGTGCTCTGCATATTCCCAAGTATGCTAGACGCACACTGTCTTATCACGTAACCTGCGCGAGCTTCTTCGGAGTCATTGAATGGAGTCTTGTGCTACTGTGTTATCGACGAAGCCGGGCTATCAAACGGTCAACCCCGAATCTCCTCGGAATCTTGGCTCGACCCAGATTCGTTGACATCTTGGAACACGCGGGAATGGTTGTGGCTGTGAGATGAATACGGAGGGGCACCGCCCATCAGGTTTCCATGGAATCAACACGACAGGCACATGAAAGCCGAATCTAGCCGCGCTGCCCACCTTGCGTGGTACTCTACGTTAAATGAGCAACTGTTCCGACTGGTGACCTTGACTCAAGGATGACGCCGATCGTCTGACACTATATCCTTCTCCCGCTAAACCAGACTATGTTTCTGGGGCCCATATAAGAAGGGAGAAGAACATCACGGCTCAAGGGCACCTGGAGGTAACTTTGAGTAACGAACAACAGCTGGTCAACCAACATGCCCAGGTGCAACGATCAACACTATTTTCTCTACGGGACCGGGAAGAAGCCAGCGCAACTACGCCTTGGCCACCTGTGTTTTGGGCACTATTCCAAAGCAACCGATGATTCCCTGTGGTATTCGCCTGGTGAAGATCTTCAGTACGAGCCATTCCCTCCCTTGTCTGGCATTTGGCTAACTTGTGAAATCATATCATAGGGCGGATGAACTTGAGAAATCCGCACATGTCTTCGAGATTGAGGACCCGCTGCTTGGAACGGACCCGTCGGTGAAGATATCGGCTGAAATCAACGCGTTCGATCTTGCCTCGCTGGGATCCTCCTTCTCCAAGTCCAGCTCTATGTTCGTATACGCAAAGACAGGGCGCAAGATTGAGCTGCAGGAGTACGTAACCACTCCCAATCGCCCAAATGGCATATTCCCCTGACTTGCGGCCCAGTCCTCGAGAGTTCCTTACAGAGAGGGTCTTGACAAGGGAGTCGTGCAAGAAAACCCTCGAGAGGTGGTTGGTTGTAGCCAACCCCAGCCTCAGGACACGGATCACAAGCCCGAAAATCTGGTACTTGACAGGGGTGTACGAACTAGCGGATACCGTGTCGTTCAGCCAAAGCAGAAGCGCCTTTGCTGCCCGCGGTGGCATCTCCGCCGACTTACTCGAAGCGCTGGGTGTACCTGTAGGTGCCAATGCCGAAGCGGAAAGAATCAAAAGCGAGTTTCAACGGGAACAAATCAAGGAGCCCCTTGTGTGGGCTGCAAGATATCTACGACTGGATGCCAAGTACCTACATGTCAACAACGATAAACCTGTGCCCGAGAACCTGGTGTCCCTAGGGCGCCACCCACTACGTTCCACGGGCAAAGTTCGCGACCCCGAACCTACGGCTAATTACGCCGAGCTTTCGCTCGTGGAACCTGGACCGGACTCAGTCACTGAGTGCCCGGGAGTGGAGTCCGATGAGTACTGGAATGACATCAAGGAGGAGCAGCAATTGTGGGAAATCAGGGAGTCGACCGAAGAGATCTAGGCGGTATTGACCGTGCTTGCGCCCGTCAGTATTGTGATTTGACCCATTGAGGTCCTAGCCTTATGCACTCGATTCATAAGATCAGGATATGAATCAAGCGCGAATAGCTTAACTCTGTGGACTCTGGAAGAATATCGTGTCTTGACTGGTCGAGAACATTCAACTCTGTGCATTCCCTTATGCACCACCAACAATCTGCCGCTCATACATATGCGATACTCAGTTGTCCAGCAGCCTTGCTGAGCAGAGAACCTGCATCAAAGCAGTCCTTGAGCACGCTTAGTGGACTTGCGCATAACTATGAGGCTGGAGCTTGTATTGGAGGCTCTAGCATGCTCCAAGAAGCAGCTAGGTACTTGGAAACATGCCTCCACAAAATGGGCTTTAAAAAGGATTCTTTGCAATAGTACTAAATAGCTCCATTTCCCTGATCCGGAGAAGTATGCGAAATAATAGAAACTTCTCGGAAGAAGTCCATGTCCATAAATTGCCCTACAACATCCGCGTTTTGATTACTCACCCTATTCCCAAGCGGTTGAATGGTTGTCTACACTCAGGACTTGGTATCTTAAGTCAGAAATGATGATAATGATTTTGGTGTGCCATTTTATGACTAGACTAAACCTCTCTAGCTCTGCAACCGAAATGTGATTGACAGCTCATTAAGACACCCCAATCCTCCGCCAGGAAAGATTTGGCAAAGGTTTGAAATATTAATGGATTACTTTTGACGAATGACAGACAGATTTACTGTATAAACCCTTATAAGAAAGTGTGTTATCAACCCTGGCCTGCGAAATCAATTGGCCCATTCTGGGTTCCCTGCTGAGAGTTATATCTGACGCCAGCGACCTTGAGCCCATCGCGATCGAGAAAAGTGATAGTGTCACCGTCCTGAGAGAGCCGGCAGTGCGGAATAGAAAAGTCATTGGTAGCTCTCGCGTTTAAAGCGGAATCCCTAGAAAGAACCTGTTGTGCCCATTCCGAATTGCGAGTTCTCCAACGTGCAAGCGACACCCTGCGGTTTGTGAGATTCGCCAGGGTAACAAACTGCTGCCCTTCAGTGGTATTCACAAGGCCCCGGCGGATAGCCACTGAATTCTCGACAAGGTCGTCAAGCAGGAGGCCCTTCCACCTCACTCGTGAAATGGCATGGCCATCAACCTCACTGGTATGCACGGCCTGCGATGCAAAGGCAAGGAAAATACCGACCCATTTATTGGACCGAGGGCTATTGGACCGAGGGAAATGGATGACGAGGGCCCCGTCCTGGAACACGCCGTCGTCACCTGAGTACCTTGGAATGTTGCCCTGGTTCATGTGAACATTGTGTATGCCATCTTCCGAGTTAAATTGCTCGCCAAAGATATAGACAGTAGCCCCCTCGGCGATTGCTTGCTGTATCCTAGGCTCCAGGACATCAACAATGTCGTTGTTTGGACCATTAATGTCGTGCTCGAGAATCCGACCGGTGTCCACGTCAAAGAGATTGCTGCGGATATAATCAAGTCGTGGACCGCCCGGTTCTGACTCTTGATCATCCAAGCGGTGGAAGCCGATCTTGAGGATCACAAAACCCTTCTCAGCAGCGCCAGTCACTGAGCAAAAGGCGGCGCCATGTCGGGCCGAATCCGGAAATAGAAATCCCAGCCCTGCCGGCGAAGAACATGCTATATGTCTATAATGCTTATGGCACAGGCCAAGTGAGCGCGCCCGTGGCTGGACCGGCTTACCCGCAGGCTCTAACCCGATGCATCAGTGCTCGGGCGGCGATCGGGATCTCGATCGCGATAGATCTCGGATCTATCCCGATGGAACCAAGATTCTCGATCTGTCGTTGGTTCTCTAGATATGATGCGGCAAGAGAAACGGGAAATCAAATCGCTCGAACTTGATGATCTCAGCTTAAGAACATGACTAAGTCTACGCGTAGAGCGGGGAGAAACTAAGCGGGACTGGGGTTTGACGTCACAAATATCAATCCAAAGGGACCAACACAACCTGACAACAGATGCATGAGGCCAGGGGCCGTAGATCAGTTGACTGAACTCCTGTCACATTACTGCAGCAGACATGGTGATGTATGTCTCAGAGCTGTTATTCCGCTTGGCTGTGCAACGTTACCGATGTCTGGTGTGTGACAGCTAATCACAAGGCATCGATGTCGATGACGGTGTAGTGCCACGAAAGTCGTCCGCTGCTCACGAGCCAGTATCATTGGACGCGCTCGGATCAACTACATCGAGGCCAGTGAGATGTGTGAGGCATAGAAGAGAACATTACATGAATACATTCAATATTGGCAGCAGAACACTGGTACAATATTATGCGAGACCCGCATCCCAGCCCCCGGAAATCGTCCACTCCGCTCAGCTGCTAGGTATCGAAATTACCGCCCCATCTCTTCAGCAATGCAGCAGAGCGACAGCAGGACATATTTTCAGATAAAGGTACTTAAACTATTCATTACAACCTCCAGCCGACGTACCGTACTTTCATGTTCATTCTGTGATGGCAGAAGGTCTCTGTGTGGGACGTATATGTGGATTTGCAAGAATGAAATCTTCATGGAGAGGACGATACACCGACATGGGATCTAATCCTCCGGTTGCGAGAAATGCGTCCTCAACATCTCGTCAATGAAGCGCCAAATCTCCGCCGAGTCATGGGTATTGAGCGACGCAGACATGTAGTACGTATTGCGACGCCCCTGCAAGGCGTTCAACTGCCGATAGAAGCCCCCGCGGATCGCATCCGCCGAGACGGTCAACAAGAACGGAAAATGATCGGAGTAGACCACAAACTCCGGCGCCTGGACCGGAATACCCGCATGCCTCAGTTGCAGCACGCTCTGCGTGATATGTCTTTTGACCTCCTCCTCGCTCATATGATCCACGCTCCCGTACAGGATGGAGGTCAGGTTCGGAGACTGGGTCGGCCTCATGACATAGACCGCTGGCTGCGGCGGTAGATGGTACGGGGTATCCGTTGCACGATTCAGGACGAGAGAGCCCACGGGGAGTCCGGGCACATGGGCAAGAGAGGTGTAGTAGTTGGTGCTGTTGAACTGGCCGAAGAGGTCCCGCTCGGTCGGATCGAGGTCGATCGCGGCCAGATTCTCGAGCTTGGGCTGGATGGCGACAATCAGCTTCTTGGCCTGGATTGTCTGCTCCCCGGTGGGCGTGCGCGTTTGCAGCTGGACCCAGTCGTCCTCCCCTCCCTCCCCTCCGTCGTCACGGTTTGTGGCGGTAACAGTGCTGCTGAGTAGTGCGTCGCTCCCCAGCTCTCGCTGTGCTGCTCCGTAGAGGTCACTGTTGTTGTGGCTGGCGGGTTGGAGAAACCCTCCGATCGCATCTCGAAGCACACCCAGGCTGAAGTACTTCATCATGTAGAGGGTGAGCTGTTGCAGCAGGTCTCCGACGCCTTGGTTAAATAGCGCAATAATGTCCACTGCCCCGTCCAGATTGTATTTCCTGATGAACTCGCCAAAGGGGAGCAGGAGGTCTTCCGGGACGGGGTCGGGAAGGTTAAACCCGGTGTTGAGATAGGGATATTTCAGTAACTGCGCCGCATACGCCGCCATCGCGGGGATCGTGGTTCCATCTGAGAGGGGCACGGAGGCCCCGGTTCGCATATCGACACGGCGCATCACGCCTTGCCCCAGAACGGAGACCTTGACCACCGGTACGTGGAGATAAGCAATGTAGTCGCGGACCCAGGGCTCATCTTCGAAGTATAGCACTCCGTAGTCGGCGGCAATTCCTGTCGCCGGCTCGGTGTATGTGTTGACGTGCCCGCCAAGATGATCTTCCTTCTCGATAACGACGACGCTATAGTTCATCTGGCGTAGACGGATTGCGGCGTATGTTCCGGCTGAGCCACCGCCGATGATGGCTACATCTCTGATGATGCTCTGTTGCGGTTCGGGCCAGGACGAATTGGAACTTGTCCATGCATCAGGGCGTGCATGAGTGGCTTGTAGACATAATGCGGCTTGGAGGATTAGAAGCGACCAGGCGAATTGCAAAGCCCGCATCTTTTCATGTAAGTACTGCACACAATTGAAAAGAGTCGTCCATGGTAGTGGGGTTGGAAGCATATATACCATGATCAGAGCGAGAGATGCCCTTGTGCGACCAACCACGGCCAATTACTGATCCCGTGCCATGTGATGCGGATTGGACGAACACAACTGCCATCTGACCTGTTTTGCAGTCAAGATTATGCAACAGAGCAAGCCTTCTAATTCCTCATTGCCCGGGAAGGCGTACAGGGAAATCTTGTATTGCTGGCCACGTTACATTATGAACTTGAAATCGGGTGCACCAGGTATTGGACTTAGGTATTAAGCTTCCGCTCTACAAGTCATCGGGTCTGGTTGCAAAAGGGCTCATATTGAAACTCCCGGGCTGACAGTCATTGGAGCCTACCAAGGGACACAAGTTGTCATTACTAGAACCGATACCCTCGACCAATATCTGGAATCAAACTCTACGCTCCTCGATGAAAGACATCTAATGCCTCTGCAAGGTGAGCCTCGAGGTCCAAGTCCCAGATCCAATGCATCCGCTCGTCCAGATCCTGCCGAATCCTGTCAAGATCATCCTCCACCCCAGGCTTCTGACACTCGTACAACAGACCCGCATCCCGACTCGTGCGGACCAGCCTCTGGGTGCGCGGTCTCCGCACCGCATCATACGCCGCAAATGCGCGGCCCAGCTGACGCCGGTCCCGAACCTCCTTCAACAACCGGGACAGGACGAAGACGTCCTCAATCGCCATCCCTGCCCCGGCCCCCTGATGCGGGGTGCTGGCATGCGCCGCATCCCCAATAATACAGATCCGCCCATCTCTGTAGTAAGTCCGCGCGGGGGGGTGGTCGAACATGGCCCAGATATCGGCATTGCGCATCAAGGACAAAATGGCCTGCACATCCGGGCCCCAGCCCGCGAAGTCCCGCAGCATGTGCGCCTTGTTCCCCGGCAGCACCCACTGCGCGCCGTGCTCCCAGACCCCGTCCGCCTTGGTGCGGAACGCCACCACGTTCATCGTCTGCCCCTTCTCGATGGGGAAGGTCAGGACGTGCCCGTCGTACCCCCAGTGGAAATGGTTGTTGCGCGCCGTGTACTCGCCCAGCGCGGCGACCGCCTCCTCCATGGGGATCAGGCCCCGGTAGGCGTATTTCCCCGTGAAGACGGGCTCGGCCTCCGCCTCGCCGGCGAGCAAGATCTGGCGGACGCGGGATTTGATCCCGTCGCAGCCGATGACCGCGTCCACCGTCGCGGCGGTGCCGTCCGCGAACCGGGCCGTCACGCTCGCGTCGTGGTTCTCTTCCAAAGAGACGAGTCGCTTCCCGAAGGAGACGTGATTCTCCTGCGCCCCGGTCGGGAGGAGTTCGGCCATCCCCTCGAGGAACCGCGCGCGGTGGACGCTGCTCCGGGCCACCGAGGCGCGCGTCTCGTGGATATGGTCCCCGGCTTTGAGGGTGTTGGTCGGACGCCGTTGGCCGTCCATCCCCATCCGGTAGCTGGACCAGAGCTTCCGCTCGCGCGCGCCTTCGTCCGGCTGCACGGTGGCGTGCTTGTTGTAGGTGGCCATCATCTCCGGGTCGATGAGCCCCATCGCGCGCAGGGAGTTGGACCCGAAGGCGATCCCGGCGCCGATCTCGGAAAACGCCGGCGCGGCTTCGTACAAGTGCGGCTGGAGGATGTCACGGGAGGTGTGCTTCAAGAGGGCCAGGAGGAGCGTCAGGCCTGCGATGCCGCCGCCGATGATGGCGATGCGCACGGGGCCGTCGGGGGGTGGAGGGATTGCCATGGCTGGTTGTCGATGAGAGCCTGTGAGTCAAGGAAGTCAGCGATGGTAGGCTTGTCTGTCATAAACATGTCCGAGGGGTCAGTCGGAGGAGCGAAGCACCTGAGCCAAGGCAGGGAAGGGCATCGAGACACTCTGACAGGGCAGGGGGCAGCAAACCCCGCGGCGCAGCACTAAGCTTTTAGCCGGTCAGGCTAAGGAAAGCCTTACGGATGCTAAGCAGACTTAGCGGCGTTTTCCCGCGGGAACAAAGCTTGTCGATTATCGAGCTGTCATGACACTGATGACAGTTGGGGAAAAGATACAAGGCATCGTTCTCTCAAATGGCAGTGCGCTAGCCCTAAAACATTATTTCACACCCGTCTTACTTTCCAGCAAGTGAGCTCGCGCATCGTCTATTTCCTGTAAAATCCTTATGAGTATGCCACAGCTTCTTGGAAAAAAGAGTGACCGAGTTAAGGCAGGGATCCGAATCCTGCCACTGCCATCATCAAACGAGATTGGCCCCCCCACCCACATCGGCTCGTGCTATTTCAGACTAGTCGGAGCAGGAGCCCAACCCACATTCAACATGACACATCCGTTCTGACCCCCCCCTTGTCTAGTTCTCAAGACTAAGTACGAGCAGGACTAGACTCCACCTGCTGCGCGATCTCACTGGTGACCTCCATCTCCCCCATGTATTTTTCGAGCAAGGCCGAATCACTGCTGCCGGCGCGGAGCCGTGGCCGACCCAGCCCCGAGCTAAGGCGATGGGGGTGAGATAATTGCGACAGCTCGTACGACCCCTGCAAATGACTACTGGGGTAAGAAGACAGACCCCCACCGGCACCAGGAAGAGATTTGCTGTGCGGGCCCCCCCTCCACCCCTTCCCATGGCGGATCAGGCGCACAATGGGCATCAGACTCGGGAGACACGCCACCACCACCCCTAGGCTGCTTTCGATCGCCGTCCACAGATGGGAATATGTATCGGACCCTAAGAAGCTCAGAAGTTAATATTCGCTGTGTTCGATGCGGGTGGTAGACAAGTCAGGCTGAATACACAAGGGGTTTGTCTTACACGTGATGTCCGCGTTGCTGATTGCGATGAGATTTTCGAGCCGTACAACCGAGATAATACAGACACTGGTAGGCAAATGTACTCATTAGTATCTGATACCCATGAGAACAACAGAGCCGACTTTGCTGGAGAGTGGGGGGCAGACATAACACCCAGAGTGAAGATGACCGACAATCCGATTTTCTTCCCTTGCGCGACCTGAAGCTTCCAAATCTCGCGGGTGGGCAGGGCGAGGAGGAGTAAATCCGTACACAGGTTTGTCGCAGCCAACGTGATCACAAAGGGCACGAAGTCGATACATCCCCCCTGCGTGGTTTTCTTTTGCCACGCGTGGGGGATCGGTGTGCATTGGAAGATGGCCGTGGTCTGGAAAGCGAGGTACCAAGCGAATAAAAAGACGATGATGGAGCGACAGGCAATGACCATGGATCGGACGGGGAATATGCGTTGATAGAAGAGGGCAATGGACAGCTTGATGACAGGAAGGCAGGTGTTCCAGAATAGTTGCATCATGTACAGGTTCTATGTGCTCGCGCAGTCAGGTCAGTAACATGTAGGATACTGGGAGCAACTGGACCACATACCAGGGAGTATTTCTGTACGGTCGCAGTTGTCAGGGAGTCAACATGCTCACCCACGCCGGCATGAAGACCTAGATATATGGGTTAGAGAATCCTTGCTGGTATCAACGAGAGGTGTTGACTCACTTTGAAAGAGAAGGATGTTCACTCCCAAGGACAGCGCCTGTATCCATGTCGGTCAATCTTCGCTCTCTATGATTCTGAGGAGAGAATCACATACCAAGGCAACAACTATCAGGTAGTCCTCCAGGAATGGTTTCAGTCCTTGCAGCTTTCGTGCCCAGAATCGCAACAACACGGAAGTCAGTGACAAGAACACGAGAACACTATTAATAACCACTATCTGGAGCTGCCTCGCGTTGTAGACTCCAGTCAGTGTCAGTGCCATGACGAATAAATATTGGAGTCAGTGTGGCAATTGACTATTAACGGAACGAATATTATATGCTCATATGGTGTTTTTAACACCAGGCAATCCTCGGCCAGCTTCAATAACTATCTGAATCAAGTCATTTCCAATAGCTCCATGGATCCGACCCTCCTTGCAGGGATGTCATAGCATCGTCCACAAGAATACACCATTTAGCCCGAAAGGATACACAGAGATCAAAAAAGCAAGTATTAGCCAGCCTGCATCTAGTAACTTGTGCTAGCATTCACTAATGCAGCCCAGTACAAGGATCAATATGCCTATCAATAAGCACTAATCATATGCAATCCAAATTAGCCGCAGTGGTTCCAATGTCCTGTCCCGCAATTGCAAAACCACCCCTTAATCATTGTCCACTTTCTTTCTTCTTTTTTTCTAACCCTCCCCTCATCTGTCCTCTCTGCGAACACTGGCACAGGAGAGATCCCCCTGGGTGACCGCACATAATGGCTGAATACCCCGTCGTTGTCAAGCCTCAACTGGAATTGGGTATTGTGGCCGAATCAGATCCTAATCCCAAGACGCAGAATGGGGTGATTCTCGTTCCCCAACCGTCACAAGACCCTGAAGATCCACTGGTATGCTCATGCTCTGTTCCTCTGTTGCCCGTGAGCCGTTGCTTACACATGTGCTAACGGCATCACAGAACTGGACCAAGGCCCGAAAGCTAAAGAACCTGGTCATCCTCTGCATGGCTGGGTTTGCGGGCACCGCACTGGACCTGGCGAATCAGTTGGCCCAGAAAGAGGAGGCCCAAAACTGGGACAAGGCGGTGATTGAAGTCACATACACCTTGTCCGCCTCCATCGCCGGTATTGCCTACGGACCGCTCCTGATCAACCCCCTTGCCCATGCCTTCGGTCGAACCGCGATCATCTTCTGGTGTCTTTTGTTCGCCATGGCATGCGCCATCTGGTCCGCCAACATGACCGGCCGAGGCGACTATGAACGCTTCGTGGCGTCCCGTCTGTTTGATGGGATTTTCGGATCTATCCCGTCCATCCTCGGAGTCGGGTCTGTGTACGAGATGTTCTTCCTGCATGAGCGCGGCAAGGCCTACGCGGCCTTCCATGTCTCCTTTCTTTTCGGCACCGTGGCTGGCCCGACCTTTGGAGGCTTCATCGTGCAGAATACCGATTGGCCGTGGGTATTCTGGTGGGTGGTTATTGCACAGGGTATTGTGCTTGTGCTAGGTGCGTCGCATTTCCACCTATGTTTCAATGTATACAATGTGGCTGAGGGCTGATTTCCGCCTGTGCAGCGTTTTGCTTCCTCGAAGACACCAGCTACCCACGCGACGGGACGGCAGTGCCGAGCCAGAAGCCTTCGTCCTTCTGGGCTAATCGGATGGCCACGTTGCTTCCACATCCAACTGGAATCGGTCGCTCTGAGTTGGTATGACTCTTCCCCCGCTGTCCTGGAGAATGCGTTCTCTAAGACAGCCTCTCACAGAGACGTATCGCATGGCTCCCCTTCCGGATCGGCCTCTCCCCCATCGGCCTAATGATCGGGTTGTTCCAACTCGCCTCCTTCGGCTGGTTCGTGGCGACCCACAGTCTCATCACCGTGTGGCTCGAGAAGCCCGTGACCGTCGGCGGATGGGGGTTTACCGCTCAGCGGAATGCCTTCTGTATGCATCCCCGATCACTGCACCATTTAGTCATTACCTAACACCCAAACCAAAAACAGTCATCTTCTCCCTGTGGGCGGGTCTCCTCACCGCCGAACTCTGGGGCTACCTGTGCAACGACCGCATCGCGCTGTGGGTCTGCCGCACCCGGAACAACGGGGTCTGGAAGCCCGAGTGCCGGCTCCACACGCTCTGGATCCCTTCTCTCACCCTTCTCCCCATCGGCCTGGGCATCGTCGGCGCCGCCCTGCAGTACCACCTGGACTACATGGTGCTGGCGCTGGGCGCCTACCTCATCACGTTCGCCTCGATGAGCTCCGTGCCTGCCGCGGTGACGTACGCGATCGAGTGCGTCGCCGCGCAGCCCACCGAGGTGGCCGCCTTCATGGGCGCCTATCGCCTCTCCCTGGGGCTGGTGATCCCCTTCTTCATCGATCAGTGGGTGGCGCGCGTGGGGTTCGGGTGGGTCTATGGCATGATGGCCTTCTTTTCGATCTTCGCTTTCACCTTCGTCGTGGGACTGATGGGCTTCGGGGAACGACTGCGCGAGCGCACGCTGCGCGGCTTGGCTTCGCGGGAGGTTGGGAGAAAGATCATTGATGATTTGGACTAAGAGGGGCAAGGGGTTTTGAAAATGCCCATGGGTCCGTTTGCCCTGGATCCGAGGTGGAAAAGCTCAAAGTGAATTAGTGTATCTAGCTGTTGGACGAATCCCCGCCCCGTCATCAGTAGATGATAGATGATACGAAACTGGCTAACAGCCTCTACGACGAGGCGGAGAACATCCGGTTCGCGAACCTTCCCACGTTCGCGAGCATGATGAGCCCGATTGAGATTGCTAAGGCGTTCGATGCGCCGGTACAACGTGGCTCGGCAACGGGGAGGGAGGCGTCGCGTACGTTATGGGGCGGATCGATGTCGCGGGGAAAAGATGGTGTTTCCGGAGAAGGGATTAGAGTGCGGAGACTCATCTCGAGCTGGCTCAGATTCATTGGGTAGCTGTGCCGAAACACGGGGCGCGTTTTACATAGGGCTGCGATATAATCTGACAGGTGGATTGATGGCAGTATGGGCAGCAGCAAAAGAGATAGTACTGTACCGCACATATCAGTATGCGGCTTCAACACCCTTAACCAATGCTACAATACAGCTGAGCCCGTGTCTCTCGGACAGAGCTCCGAGAAAGCGCTCACCCACAGCAGGCGGAGCAAACATAGCTGAATGCAAGGGATGACGCCTCCTGCACAGCAGCTATGGGACAGACCGCTTGATGCGGGCAGTCCAGCCCCTCCTTGTGCAATCCGAGGTGTTAAAACCAAAGCCTTCCCCGCGACCGACAGTGGCTGGCTTGTTCACCCACCCTAACCCCCAGCCATCATATCCTCCACTATGTTGGGCATAGGCACCATCCTGGCAGGCCTGGCAGGAGCCCTCAGCCTCAGCAGGCTGAGCCAGCGCTCAGAAGCCCCATCACTTACAAATGCCACGACCCTCCCCCTCAAAATCGACACCCACCACCACTTCATCCCCGACTTCTACCGCGAAGGTACAGTAACCCCAACCTCCCATCAACCATCAACCCTAACTCCCACCCCCCACCTCCAGCAATCGACACAGCGGGCGGCGACCCAGCCGGCATCCCCACGCCTAACTGGACCCTGCAAACGACCCTCGACCACCTGGAAACCAACAACGTCCGCAAAGCCTACCTGTCCCTAACCACCCCGGGCCCCACCATCGCCGGGCCCAACACAACGACCATCCGCCAACTGGCCCGCCGCGCCAACGAGTACGCCGCCAGCCTGGTCGCCGCCCACCCCAGCAAGCTCGGCTTCTTCGCCTCGCTCCCCTCCCCCCTCGACGACCCCACCGGCACCCTCGCCGAACTCACCTACGCCGTCGACACCCTCCACGCCGACGGCGTCACCCTCTTCACGCGCTACGGCCCCGACAACACATACCTAGGACACCCCTCCTTCCAGCCCCTGTGGTCAGCCCTCAACGCCCGCCGCGCCGTCGCCTTCATCCACCCGACCACCGCCGCCTGCAACGAGTGGATCAACCACGTCCTCCCGCCGCCGATGCTGGACTTCCCGGCCGAGACCACCCGCGCCGCCATCGACATGATCATGGGCAACGTCACCCGGGCCTTTCCGGACGTGACCCGCATCCTCTCGCATGCCGGGGGCACCCTCCCGTTTCTGATTTCCCGGATCGCGGTGACGGCGGGAGCGGTGCAGCAGCCGAATGTGACGGTGTATGGGAAGACGTATGCGGAGTGGATGGAGGGGGTGCGCTCGTTTTACTATGATTTGGCGTTGGTGGGGACACCCGGGGTTTTGGGGTTGGTGCTGGGGACGGTGGAGCCGGGGAGGGTGGTTTATGGTATGTTGGCATGTTCCCGGGCCTTTGGTGTTTGGTTCCTGCGGGGTGTTTGGGGTGGGGGGGGTCTGAGGGGAATGCTAATATGGAGCATAGGATCGGATTTTCCGTATGCGAATGCGGATAAAGTGGCTGGGTATCGGGAGTATTTGGATGAGTATGCCATGGACGAGGAGTTGCGGAATGGAATTTACTTTGGGAATGCGGAGCGGCTGTTGGGTTAGGGTTGGGATTGGGGTTGTATGCGTGGCGTGTGGTTCGCCTTCAATTTAGTGGAGATGCATACACCTATAGGCACATTTTGATTTGTCGCATGACACACTGCATCGTCCAAAAGAGATACCTACTACTCATTACATGCCACCTACTTATACACCAATTGAAACAGACTCAGTCCCTCTGCAACACCCGCCGGAAAGTCTCCACCGTGTGCTCCCACACCTTCCCCGCAAACCCGCGCTCGCGATACTCGGCCATCAACTTCTCCTTGGTCGCATTCTTCCCGTCGTAATTCAGGATATACGAGCCCGCGCCGACCTGCCCCGTCGACGCGACCGCCGTGCGCAGCCCCGCCGCCAACGGCGTCCCCACGTACCCCGACGCATCCCGGGGCTTGGCGGCCGGATACGCCGCCGAGGTGGCGATGAACAGGTTGCGCTGGCCGCTCTCCTCGGGCGTCATGGACAGCGGCCGCGAGAGCACCCCCAGCACGGCGCCGGCCCAGTTCCCGAAGGTGGACTGCATGAGCGGGGTGCGCACGATCCCCGGGAAGACGTGCGCGAAGCCCACCGTCGGGTGCGCCGCGGCCAGGTGCTCGAGCGCCAGCGAGTTGAGCGTCGCCGCGTAGGTCGCCGCCTTGCGGAAGGACCACGTTTGCCGCAGGTCGAGGTTGTGCTCGTCCACGTGGCCCTCCTGCCCTGCGGCCAGCACGGATACGACTCGCGGCGCGCCGGTGGAGTTCTCCAGCAGGGGTAGCAGGTTGTGGATGAAGCGCATGCGGCCGTAGTAGCGTAGGACGTGGTTGTCGTCTAGGCCTTCTTCGGTTTCTAGGGGGGTTTTAGATTGGAGATTTTGAGCTGTCTAGGGGGGCTTGGGTAGGGAAGTACCGTTCTTGGACATAGCTAGATGGCCCGTCGACAGGAAGAGCAGGTCGATGGATTTCTCCTTCTCCTTGATCTGCTCGCAGGCGGTGTCGACATTGCGCAGCAGGGACAGGTCGGCCTGGATGAAGTGGAACTTGCCGTCGGGGTTGGCGGCGCGGAGCTCCTCCAGGACGCGCGAGCCCGATGCCGCGCTGCGGCCCACGACGTGGATGGTGGGCTGATTCACGGACTGGGCCAGTTGCTTGGCGGTTGCTTCGCCGATGCCGCTGGTGCCGCCGACGAAGACGGCGATCAGCTCGGGCCGGCTGGTGGAGAGGGTCGCGTTGGACTGGCGGACCTCGTTGAGGGTGGGCATGATGAGGTGCTGTGAGGGAAGAGGCCGTCTCACATGAGTTGATTTACTGGTTAATTGTGATTGTGAATTGGTGAGAAGTGGTTGTGTTGATGGAATGCGGTGATGGCTGGGTTTAAATACGATGTCTTGGCAGAGCGGACAAGGAAAGATGACGTCGTCGAACAATCTGACTCAGCCACGGCATGCAGCCTCACCTCGGGGCATCTCGGATGGCATTCCTTTTCGGGTTCCTTTTAACTCATCTAATGCATTCTCCGTGCATGTACGGACTGTACGGACTGCTCCTTCGGTGACTCGATATGCCACTGTAGTGCTACTACACCTACCAGACTAGATCACTTCCAGCCTATATTCCTTCAGCGTCCTGCTGCTATTTTGCTGTCCACTTGATGATCAAGTGACCAAAGTCACTTTCCCCGACAATTGACCGTTCAGCCGCAACTCCACTATTCTACTGCTCCCAGCGCGATGACACAGTCTTCGTCGTGGTGAAGAATGGCCAGTAGGTTTTCCCAGGAGCGTGTCGATCTGACGTAGTTAGCACGGTGCGCGCGCTCTGGATTGAGAGGAAGAAAGATCCCTACCTCCGAGGAACGAATCCTTGTTGCTCGTCCGAACTGCAGTACCATACGGGGCTATATGTCGCTTAGTATGCTAACATACGCGAGCAAAGCTAACAGCATACCTATCAACGGGATGTTGACCCCAATCTGCCCAACGTTGACGCCGCGCTGAAATGTATTGGCATGTTTACCACTGGTGGTAAAAATGGAACATGCATTGCCATCTACGCGACCAGGATCAGCCCACCGGCTTCGATGGCATTGAGGTGGCCAGTCAACTCACATTTATTCCGGTTGATGAGCTCCATCGCTTCCTCCAGCGTCTCGACCTCCATACAGATGAGCACCGGCCCGAAGATCTCCGACTGGTAGCACTCCATGTACGTCTCCACCTCAGTCAGGATCGTCGGCCCCATGAAGTTGCCATCCGGATAACCGGGAACCTGGATCTGACGACCGTCCAGAAGCACGCGGGCTTGCTCCTGGACCGCACGTTGGATGACGCCGCCGACCCGCTTGACGGCCGCCTCGTCGATCAGGGGCCCGATCTTGGACTCCTGGTCGCCCCCACAGCCCACGACCATCGACTCGGCCAGCTCGACCAGTCGGGGGATCCACTCGCGCGTGCTGCCCACGAAGACGGCCACGCTGAGCGCCATACACCGCTGGCCGGCCGCCCCGAAGGCACTGCCGGCAATGGCGAAGAGCGTGGAGGTCATGTTGGCGTCCTCGAGGATGACGCCGTGATTCTTGCCGCCGCACTCGGCCTGGATGCGTTTTCCGGCGGCGCGCGCAAGGTCGTGGACCTGGCGCGCGGCGGGCTCCGAGCCGACGAAGCTGATGGCCTGCACGGCGGGCTGGTGGATCAGCATCTGCACGGTCGACGGGCCGCCGTGCAGGACGTTGAACACCCCGGGCGGGAAGCCGGTCTTGAGGAAGGCCTCGGCGAGTAAGGCGGATGTCGATGGGGTCTTTTCGGAGGGCTTCAACACCACCGTGTTGCCTGTGATCAGAGCATAGGGCAACGACCAGAGGGGGATCATGAACGGGAAGCTGAACGGGGTGATGGAGACGCAGACGCCCTGCGGGTTTGGAATCAGCATTGCAACCTTAACTGTGTTTTCAGTTCCATGCAGTCAAAAGTCAGCACTGACCACCGGCTCGTAGAAAGTCTGCAGCAAGGTGGCATCGCCTCCGAGAAACATGCCCGCCATTTCGGGCCCGACGGAGCAGGCCGCGTGGATGCAGTCCAGCCCACGGAAGACTTCGGCATCGGCGTCGGCTAGAGTTTTCCCCACCTCACGGGATAGACAGGTCACCTACGGTCAGTCTGAATTAGCTACCTGGTGTTCTTTCCGGTGTTGAGTCTTGGATGGAAGGAGTCGTACTATTTCCGGCGACATTTGCCTGAGGACATCCACCAGTTTCAACAGCCGCTCCCGCCGCACCTGGAACCCCAACGCCGCCCAGGCGGGCTGAGCATCCTGTGCCGCCTGAACAGCGCTCTGGACTTCCTGCAGTGTACTCCCAGGCACCCTACATAGTAAGCTTTGCGAGACCTGGAACTGGGGTCAGCGAATACAGATACAGAAACAGGACAATTTCGAGGGGAAAAAAATCTCTTACCGGATCCAGTACATTGCTCCAGCTCTGCGACTTGGACATGACATGCTCGTTGTTGATGAAGAGATGCGTCACGGTTGGAGGCGCCGGCGAGACCGGAGTCTCTGGCCCATCGTCGTCACCGTCACCATCATTGTCCAATTCCGAGCTCTCCCCACGGGGTGTGGCGTCCTCGACATGACTAGATCGCGTGCTACTTCTCCGCGAGCGGGTCTAACTCCAACGTCAATCGGGTGTTGTCCGTGTAGGGCTCATCGGAAGCAAGTCCACCTACGTCTGAGCTGCGGCGGGAGGCCCGCTCGCTGGAGACGACCGTATCGTCGCTCGGAGTGGGCGATCCCAAGGGGAAGGGGGCGAACCGCGCCGCCCGATTCGACGGTTTGGTCGAGATTCGCGGCATATCAGACAGTACAGCTTGTATTATCCGCTCACCGGGGAGGGAGATTGAGGCGGAGTGGGAGGGAAGATAAACGATAGATTGATTATCTCTGGATCTTGGGGTTCATGGCGGCTTATCAGTTCTTAAGGCAGGTCGGGATTCCCCGAGGAGTTGCGCGATAAGGGATTTCCCCGCTTGGTGTGAGATCGCTGATAAGCAGGTCTGCAGTGGGTTTAGCTCATTGCTCTTTGTGGATTGGGGTAATGGGAATTAAGAGGGGGCACTATAGGTGGATACTGAATTCATGCAGTGTCTTTCATACTGTACACAGATCTATGCGACCGTTGGGTTTATCCTAGTCTTGACAAACAGACAGGGCGACCAATCCATTTGATGGCGGAGCTAGTAGCCTCGAGTGGCTAGGTAGGCATAGCTCCCACTCCTGGGACTGACTTGAGATATGAAAATTTGACTCGACCTCTGCATCATGCTGCCAGACACGAATAAGGTGACATGGACGTAAAACTCTGGTTCCATAGATGTGCCTTCGTATCGAGACCATTGCTGTATGGCCGACAACTGATGTTCCGATTTCCGATCTTCAGGTCATGCGACAGACATAGATGAGACTGAAAAACCCCCACCTTCAATGGCACACACTTATGAAGTGTGTATAAAACCGCTACTCCTTGACATCCACAGAAGATAGCTCCCTCTTCACCCTCCTCCCCTGGCAAACAAGCCCCAGTCGAAACCAGGACAGCGATAAGATTAGATCCGCCTTATCAACCACAGTTGACTGTCGCGTGCCAAGCCACCCTCCGTGTGAATTTTCTTCTCCGCCTTCTTCCGCCCACGCACGCATCATTCACAGCACTGCACTGTACGTACCCCTCTTCACTCACCACCAAGCCAAGTACCCCGCTACACCAACCTGGATATAAATCGGGGTATTCCACTGCTAAACCTCTTCTCTCCTCCCTTCCACGAAGTTTCGCCAACTCTCCCATCTCCAACACCCCGCAAACCCGGCACATTTAGTACCGTACACCCAATCCAATACATTTCATTCATCCAAACTCTAAAGCCTCCACCAAATGTTCACCCCAACTGCCGGCACCACCTCGGCACTTCCCACCCCCCCAATGGACCGCGTCACCGTGCTCGAGCAGGACCGCTCCCTGCTCAGCCTCATGACCATCATCCGCGACGTGCACACCGACGACCGCGCCTTCGTCTCCGCCGTGGAGAAAGTCGTGCACCGTCTGATCTCTTCCGGTATGGTCACGTGTTCTCCATCTGGCGGGTGGAATCGAAGAAACTAATGCGAGAGGGTACCCTCAATCTCAGCGCTGAACCACGTCCCCGCGGAAGAGTATACCGTCACCACGCCGCTGGATACCACGTACAAGGGCCTGCGCTTCACGAAGGGGGTCTGTGGCGTGAGTATTCTCCGGGCCGGCGCGAGCATGGAGCAGGTTTTGCGGGATACGTGGACGTAAGTCACTTCCGGGCATCCTTTCGGTTTGTGTGTGGTGGAGGTAGATGGGAGGCTGATTGTAGGGGGGGGCGTGTAGTGGTCGTCTGAGCTTCGGAAAGCTGCTGATCCAACGCGACGAGGAGACGAGTATCGCCAAGAGTTATTACTCGAAGTTGCCGGTGGGGATTCGCGATGATGGTACGTGAGACTGTTCACTTGGTCTTCGGGCTTGCTTTGTTGCTTAGGATGTTCTAACCAGGCGAGTGTAGTGGTCTTGCTTCTCGAGCCGATGCTCGCGACCGGAGGCTCGGTCATCAAGGCGGTGGAGACGCTGACCGAGCATGGCGTGCCGGAGGAGTCGATCGTGCTGGTCAATGTCGTCTCCTCGCGGAAGGGGCTCGAGGTCGTCACCGGCCGGTTCCCCGCCTTGAAGATCGTGTCGGCCGCGGTGGATGCGGATCTGACGGCGCAGAAGTGAGTGTTCCTGCTTCCATGGGAGGGGTCCTTCGAAACAGGAGTACTGACTGGTCGTAGCTATATTAGCCCTGGCTTGGGTGACTTCGGGGATAGATACTATGGTACGTGCTGAGTATGCTTCGAGGTGGGAGGGGGCAATCGGTGTTTTTGTGGTTGTGGTAGTGCAGTATCTCTTCCGTGGGCTTTTGGATTTTGGGTGTTTCTTCTATGCATTGTGGGGGGTCGTAGGCTGGAATTCGGATATGTCTTGCATGCATGGTTGGATGGGTTTAGGGTGTATATCCATCGCATTAGGTGGGGGTCTTTTGAGTCGAACATTTTTCGCTGGTATAATGCAAAGTCCAGGTCAAATACTTGGTTACTGAATGTGATCGGTCGCTTGGTCTTGTAAATTTTACTTGCTTGACTATCTCTACTTAAGATCAGAACACCGTCCCAAACAGCCGATCCCCGATATCTCCTACCCCAGGCTGGATATATCCCTTCGCATTCACCCCCGGATCCACTGCGCCTACCACGAAGCGACTCCCCTCCGGCCACACCCCGGCTGCGTGAGACAACCCCGTCGGCGTGGAGAGCATGGACAGGAAAGTTACCTTCTCCAGGCCCCATTCCCTACGGATACTGCATTAGCGACCGCATCACGGGGCTTCTTACAGCTCAACCCATGTCGAAAAACGGAAAGAAGAATGAGACTCACTCCAAAATCGCAACAACCGCCGCCGCCGTCCCACCCGTCGCGATCAACGGATCCAGCACCACCGCCTGTTTCACCTGCGCCGGCTTGAGCGGCAGTTTATTGTAATACTCCACGGGCTGCAGCGTCGTCTGATCTCGGAAGATACCCAGGTGGTAGACTGCTGTCGAGAGGTTCTGGGGCAGGCTGTCCATGAAGCCGTCGAACATGGCAAGCCCGGAACGGAGGACGACGATCACGGCTACCGTTTCTTCGGGGCCGGCGGTGTCGAGATGGACGGACTCGGAGAGAGCGGTGGTCATTTCACGGACCAGGGAGCGCACTTCGGAGGGCTTGAGGTCGCGTTGGCGGAGGCTTTCGAGCAGGGCTGTGAAGGTGGTGCTGTGCACGTGGTGCACATTGGCAGGGAGGGTGACGGTCATGGTGAGGCAGAAGTGACTCGGAAGGATGTCAAGTGTTGAATCGAATGCCAAGAAAATGTGTAGTCCGGATCCAGTGGCGGATAACTGTGCTTATATTGATTCACTGATGCCTTGGCTCCAGGATTACAGACGAGCATGCAATGTATCGATGCTGTTGCTGTGATATACTACCGCGCTGGCGATACAGGCTGTATCGCGTGGGGTTATCAGATAAGATAGAGGGTATCAGCCGAGGAACAGGGATGATAAGCGCCTTTCCCCGCTCTGAGTTGTTGTTTCTTTCCCCTCCTTCCTACTCCTGCCTCCAACACAACTTCTTGACTCTTTACGAGCAGATACACTTGAGCAGAACACCCTTCAAAGAGCCTACCACAGATACTGCAGTTCAAAAGCCACCATGGATTCCAGCATCCAGCAACTTCTCGGTCTCGAAGCTGTCCGCGATCGCGCCCGTGTTGTCCTGAGCCTCGCCGAACAAGGAAAGCTCCACCACTACGATTATCACCCCGACAGCTTGGACGCGACCGTGGACTATGTTGTCAGCATCATAACGGTGCGACATCCTACTCATAATCCCAACGGAGCTAAAATCTAACACGATATGTCTGACAGCGCGACTTCGGCCCCGACCGATACGATCAGATCCCTCCCCACGGTCGCTGGCAGCACTTCGAAGTCGGCGGGGTGCCTCGACTACAGCAGCTTCTGGAGCGATGGACGCAAGCCGGATATGACGACAAGGAGAAGGTGCGCAGTCTGTTGGATCTGTTCTTCGTCTCCGTGCTCCTGGACGCCGGAGCGGGCGATACCTGGCGATACGTCGAGCCGGAGACCGGAAATGTGTACAACCGCAGTGAGGGGATCGCGGTCGCTTCACTGTATATGTTCCTCAACGGAGACTTTGCCAAGCAGGGGTCGGAGAGGAAGGATGTCGTGCATGGTGGGCTTCCAACCGTTCCTTTTCCACCTAGCGAGGCTGACTGATGTTGTTGAACAGGGGAGGCGCTGAGAGGCCTGACGGTGGATGTATTGACCAAGGGGTTCCAGGTTGATGGTCAAAGCAATCCGCTCGTTGGAGCTGGTGCACGCGTGGAGATTCTACAGAGATTGGGCCAGTCAATAACCAGTCTCCCCGAGATATTCGGACCGTCCGGTCGCCCTGGCCAGCTTCTTGGTGAGCTCAATGCTTTGTAGTCGACCCGGGTGTACACTGACCAATGCAGACCATCTCCTCTCCCCGGGCGCGGAGAACCTCGACTACGCCCGACTCTGGGCCGTGCTGCAGCAGACCTTGATCCCGATCTGGCCATCCGACCGAACCCGCGTTCGCGGACACCCGATCGGCGACGCATGGCCTCTGCCTGTATTGTCGGAATCCTCCCGGATCACCGCGACAGACCCCGAGACCGCCACCATCCAGCCCTTCCACAAGCTGACGCAGTGGCTGGCCTACTCACTCAAGGTTCCCTTCGAGCGCATACTGAAAATCACCTGGAAGAATGCGGAGCTGGGAACTGGCCTGCCCGAGTATCGCAATGGAGGGTTGTTCGTGGACATGGGGGTTTTGACGCTCAAGCCAGAGGCGATGGAGCGCGGGCTGCGCACCTCCGGGGCCGCGCTGCCGTGTTTCGCGGTGGGAGATGGGGAGATTGTCGAATGGCGAGCGATGACGGTGGCTTTGCTGGACGAACTGCACAAGCGGATTCTGGGAAGTGGGAAGTTGGGAGATGTTCAATTGACGCTGCCTCAGATGTTGGAGGCTGGCTCGTGGAAAGCGGGTCGGGAGCTCGCGGCGGAAAAGCGGCCGGAGACTAAGTCCAGTCCCATCCTGAACTCTGGGGACGGCACTTTGTTCTAGATCTTCTTCTTTCGAGAGATGTAGCTGGGTCAAGATACGATCGGATGAAATGTTAGCAGTGACTTGAGCAATATTTTGCAGAGTGTCGGAGCCATGTTTGACGCTCGACCATGGTTATCTTGGCTAAGCGACCTTGATGGCTACATGAGTAGTAAGAAAAGAGGGAGCTTTGACAGCTTTAGCAGCTTTGACCCCTCCAGAATAACATCAGTGGGGTTTAAACTGCGGTCATTCTGACGGAATGTATAAAAGGGCCACGTATAGACTGTGAGTGAGACTTCAGGGACACCCTTGACCGGACGGGAGGGAAGCTTATCTTAACCCCTTTCCCGCCATCGATCTCAGCACAGCAGGCCAGCTGAGGATTCGGCTGGAACCCGCATTGACTCGATTTGTCACGATTGACGCCAATCCCTCCAATAAAAGGTGGACCTGAACAGAACCCCTTATCACCCATCACATCACCCTCACAGATCGCGCCATCAGCCACCCTTGCCGAGGTTTTCGGCCCCCCGGTAAGCGGGAGGAGGCCCCACGGCTGATGGGTCTTTGGGTCTTTGGGTCTTTGCCCTCCCGAGCCCCAGTCCGTGCCGAATACCCGGTACAACAACACTCCGACTATTTTTGCCCATAAATATGCGCCGATAGGATCTAAGGAACAAACATGGGTTGCAGCAAGATGCGCAGGGTCTTGCAATCCATCACACGTACACCTCAATAGTCTATTTCTCAGCCATCTACTCCGTAATTGGCCGAGTCATGCTGCAGGAGAACTATCATTCTCGTGCATTCATTGGGAGGGGCTGTGGGTCCACAGAGACCCATTCCGTTACCTAGTAGTGCTTTTTTTTTCTTCTTCTGCCGTCTTGTTTTGCACCGAGTCAGACTGCCATCAGCACGATAAAAGCAATGAGTCGCCCGACTATTTTCACCCACCCCCTCAGGTGGCTTAGACAATCTCTCTCTATGCGGACAGTCCGTCGCAAGTGAAAATAGGTTTCCGGTCTGTAGCATTGTCTGAAGCCATGCTATCATGACGTGAATTTCTGCGCCACTTTCCAAGAATACAGTCCGCAGGGAATAAAGTTAAGATGATTGCGGATCTGGAACAGCATCGCGAAAAAGGCACCCTTCCCAAGGGGGTCTATCGCACCCGGATCCCCCATTGGCGCATGCTCCTCGACCAAGGCGCCATCAACGAAGAGATCCTCGAATTCGAATATCCCGGCAGTGGCACGGAGGAGGATCCCTATGTGGTCTCGTGGATTCCCAACGACTGCCGCAACCCACTGCTCTTCAGCGCGGCGCGGAAGATCACCATCACTCTGATTGTCGCCTTCTCCACCCTGACCGTCGCCCTGACCTCCTCCACCTACAGCGGCAGCATCAAGGAAATCGTTGAAGATCTCCATGTCAGCTCGGAAGTCGCGACCATCGGGCTGGCGCTCTTCGTGCTGGGGTTCGCGGTCGGCCCGATCTTCTGGGCGCCGGTCAGCGAGGTCTTCGGTCGCCAAACCCCCTTTATGGTCAGCTTCTTCGCCATGACCGCATTCTCAGCCGGGTGCGCCGGAGCGCAAAACATCTGGACACTGTGCATCCTGCGATTCTTCGCCGGATCCTTCGGGTCCTCGCCCTTCACCAACGCGGGAGGCACGATCTCGGACATGTTCACGGCGCGGCAGCGCGGCCTAGCCCTAAGTCTGTACGCGGCCGCCCCCTTCCTGGGCCCGGCCCTGGGCCCCATCATCGGCGGATTCCTGGGGATGAGCGCCGGCTGGCGCTGGGTGGAGGGTTTCCTCGCGCTACTGGCGGCCCTGATCTGGGTCCTGATGGCCGTCTTCATCCCGGAGACCTACGCGCCCGTCCTCCTGCGGCACCGCGCCCGGCGCCTCTCCCAGCTCACCGGCCGGGTCTACCGCAGCAAGATCGAGCTGGACAAGGGCGCCGTCGCGCTGCCGCGCCTGCTGAAGACCACGCTCTCGCGCCCCTGGGTCCTGCTCTTCCGCGAGCCGATCGTCCTCCTCTTCGCCCTGTACATCGCCATCGTCTACGGCACGCTCTACATGTTCTTCTCGGCCTTCCCGATCGTCTACGAGGATATCCGCGGCTGGAACCCGGGCGTCGGCGGCCTCGCCTTCCTGGGGATCATGGTAGGCATGATCGTCGGCGTCGGCGCCACCATCCCCGCCAACCTGCACTTCATCAAGGTCCAGGACCGCCACGCGGGTTTCGCGCCCCCCGAGGCCCGCCTCCTGCAATGCATGCCCGGCGCCCTCGCCATCCCTATCAGCCAGTTCTGGTTCGCCTGGACGGACTCCCCTTCCATCCACTGGAGCGTCAGCATCATCGCCACCGCCCCCTTCGGCTT